GGTCTTGAATGGCCTAGTGGTGCCGATCAATTATGCCGAAGCATTGAGTGAGATCACCTTTCCACCGTTCTACACTCGCACACACCGACCACCTTTGCAACAACACAGGGTCTCTAGTGTGTGGATGGCGGGTGTTTTACATAAAGGCTGACTATGAGAAACGACAATGGCAAGGTGTGTTTGTTGTGGACCTGTGGCTTGCGAGGTGTTCATTTAAATAGGGACGCGATGGTTGGCGGAACGTTAGCCTTATTTCCTCCTTCAAATCTCTATCTCCAATCTCAACCTCCTTCATATTGACATGCAGACATTCGACTTAGCTACCACTGGTGAGCCGCAGAGAAACCTGTAAGTGCTTGGTTTTGGAAGCATTGGCGTCTGAATATAACAATAAACATCTGCTTCAACAGCTGGATGTCATTATAAGCGAAAACTGGGCCTTGAAACAGTCACGTCAAGCGTCGATTCACCATTGGTCTCAGCTACCACTGGTGGGCCACGGAAACCTGTAAGTGCTTGGTTTCGGAGGTAATTATGTCTGAATATAGTAATAAATATCTGCTTCGACAGTCGGATGCGATTATAGGCGAGGACCCAAGCCTTCAAACTGTCAGCAACAGTGTTATCTGTCGTCAGCGGCAGCTCATCAAAGTGAAGGCCGATGTCGTTCAGTCCAGTACTTTACGCGGAAACTTTTCATCGCCTATTTGCCGCCTGCCGACTGAAATTCTTTCGGAAATCTTCCTCTACTGTTTGCCTGAAGACGAGCATTGGATGTATGCATCGAGACTGGCTCCCTTGCTTTTGACCAGGATATGTCGCCAATGGAGAGAGGTTGCTGTGGGCTTGCCAGGTTATGGTGCAGGCTGCAGTTGGAACTCTGTCCCAATCCTTGGCAGGACAGAGCTTTCGGCTACGACTCCTGGCTGAAGCGATCAGGAGCATGTCCACTTTCGCTGAGACTCACGTGTCGAACTGACTGGAGCAAGCTTTGTAGATTGCTCCAGCCATATATTCAGCAAATCTCATCTCTCTTGCTTGACTTTATATCCTGCGACAGCCCTTTCGTTATGGAAGACTTCCACGCACTCAAGGAACTCACGATACACAAGATGTTCGTGATCATCCTGCGCGAGCCGTTATAACGCTCTCTCCGAAATTGCCGGTTAATCTGCGCAGGATTAACATGCAGCATCTATGGTTCGACTGCAACCAATTAGGTTGCCTCACTGCTTCCGCATGGGCTTGTCTGACACATCTCGAGATCGGCGTGCGTAGATGGACTAAATGCATTCACCCGCATACTCCGTCTATGTCCCGATCTCTCTTCCCTGAAGATGATTGGAATATTCTACACCATCGAGACTCCAGAATTAGTCGTGCACACCAACCTTCAATCTTTATCCATGTCTTGGAGCGTACTTTCGAACACAGACGAGGATATTGGCCTATTCGAGGTTATCACACTCCCGAACCTTCACGTACTTGAGGCTCGCAATACGGGGCGGTGGCCACATGCATCGTGCATGGAATTTTTGACGCGGTCAGAACGTCCCCTGGAGAGGCTGATTTTCGACAGGGGAGTCTGGACAACAGAACGGGAACGAGCAGAATATGCTACCCTTGTTCCTTCCTTCGAATTGATTGCAGATCCTGGGGAAGCAACTTTAATGTAGATGAAGAATAGAAGAACCAGTATCTCTATGGGACTTTTTTGTTTAAACAAATGTCGTTATTCTTCCTTCTGTAAACATACGTCTCCTTTCAATGACGAACTTCAAAGAGATTTTAATTCGTTATAGCTTGCCACGTGAATCAGATAATTGTATACATTCTACAATCCAAATCGCACTCACTCGCTGTATCTTTCAATCCAACGCTAGTGCCATCTCATTGAAAGACCCATATCTCGTCCTCCTTCACCATGGCCCATAATTATCTAGCACGACGAACTTAGTGTTACTGACCTTGTCTAGTACTGCAGCAAGAGTGGCAGAGAAGTCACGATGTTTTATCAAGGTTGCGAGCGTTCTGGCGAGCTTCATCCGTCTGATTTTAGATAGGTTGGTTATGAGATGTTCCCTGCTTACAAAAGATCAGAATGTCACATTGTTCAATAGACCGACCGTCTAATAGCACTAGTTTGGCTGCAGGACAGTACGGGAGGTCCTACGCACTGTTTTTTTTAGCGCGGTTTGCTGTAAAACAGCAGTCTCGTGACTCGGACCACTGTAAGGTTTGAATGGGATCGATCGGGGACTGTTGATACCTCTCAAGCGCTTTAGGGGATAGTGACCATGAATTCGACATAAGTGTGCAGAGGACAACGCATGCAAGCAGCAACGATTACAGTTACGAGATACCAGGGAACAAGGTTAAGCCGTTTTTGTTTCTGTTTCTAACTGATCTCCATCAGCCTCAAACAGCAACAAAAACGGCTATTTCCATGTTGTCCGGCACTGACAATCCTAGGCGTGGGCCGGGTTTGGGAGAAGGAGGAGAAGAAACATAGTCTTCGTCACGTATTAGGACATTATCGTCGCAGGGAGCAGCCGCTGTAGCATACCACTACACATGGATGGATGAGATTTGACGTATGAAGAGAGAAATGAGAGGTGCATACCAATTTACCCGGCGCGAAAGGAATGTCGACAATAGCTAGCGATGCATGATCTGTCTGAAAAGACCACCAGGTTGATAATCTATGTAAGCTAGATCTGAGGGTTGCGGGAGTATTAATGGCGGAGGATTGGGTGGTGGGTGGTGCCGGTGTGTGGGTCGAGACTAGAAGAATGTAAGTTGAATACGCATTGACGAAAGTCCGCACTCACGTTCTCATCCATTTTTGTAAGTGGGCGAGCTAGAGGGGATGTAGCAGGGAACTGCGAGGGAACTGTCGGGTCAACTGCAAACTTGAAGCAAATATACACAACATACATCCAGGAGATTATGAGGCTCATCGGTGCGAACCAGGTCCGTACGAGAAGAGGAGGAAAGAAGCTTGTATAGAAAGTGGGGTAAGTACGTGAGTCCCTTGGAGGCAAAGGTCTTGGCGGGCGAGGGATGGGATTTGGGAAACATGACAGGTGTTATCACAGGTTTACGGTGCACGGGACGACGTGTTGCATCAGACTGTAATGAATAACAGTGTGTTGTAGATGATGAGAAAGCTAGACCACGTACATTAAGCAGACCAGCGCGGCATGAACGTTCAATGTTCAGATTTGACCTGTCAGAATATTAATATATAAATTATCACACTAGGCTGTAATGAAGGTCAAACTAAGGAGAGAGTCCAGAGACGATACAAAGTAAGATAAGACTGGCATGCAAGAACAACGTGAAACACACCTCAGCATTTGGGACGAAACCGCTGAGGTATAAACAAACATAGACAGAGAGATTATAAGTTGGTTTTATTGCCACATTTTACCACAGGCGTGTAATTAGTGACTCATCAACAACGCCGTCGAACAGCGATGTTAGTAGTAGTTACTGTCAGAGTCCCAGACAACTGTCAGAAGCGATCAATCTTTCAATCTTCAACTACACCATGTATTTGAAACTAATCTCCCGAACCTCGTTGACATCCTTCGCATTCCGCTCGTTCCTCTCAATCTGCTCATTCAAATGCTTCAAATACAAATACATACCACCACACATGCCTGTCGAAACTCCAATTGCAGCGATGCAGATGACATAGGAATAACGATATGACGGGCCCCATTTCAATGGCCATATGTATCTATGCGAAAAATGCAATCGTGAATAATTAGCAAGAGCAAGAGATCGATGGCAAGGTCACTGACGATCCAATAATACCTCCTATCTGTGCCAGTGCGTTCATCAAAGCAATAGCAATGGCGCGCTTCGCGGGTTCTCTGGCGAAAATGTTGCTGATCCACCCTAGGAGCACCATGTATCCAACGATGATTTGAGCTATCACGAACCTGTATATTTCTGAGTACCAGAGTGGCGCCCCATGAGTGTGATACCACTTACAGTGAAATATAGCGCGCAACCTTGTTCATCGTAATAGCGGACACGGTGAATGCAAGGACGCCGAATGCATTGGAGATAACAAAGCATTTGTAACGTTTCTGCTTCTTGTCAGAGTACCTGATCTCCGTGAGATGCACTTTTTCTGATAGAAATGATCCACTGACCATGTAAGAATAAATGCGACTATAGCCGCAAACACCCACGGAGGAGCGCAAAGCAGCAGTGTTACAGTCGTGTCATATCCCAGTGTTGCGCACAGTGTCGGGAAATAACCGAAGAAAGAACACCCCACTATCTGAAACGTGGCCGCAACTGAAAACCACCAAACCTTCCAATCAGACACAGCATCCCGCACTCCTTGCATGGCCGTCTGCTTCCCAAGCTCGTCAGCCTTACTATAGCCATCTTCTACAAGGCGAGAGTAGCAAGTGCTCTTTCCTCCGGGGTCATCCACCTGGTGTTGTGCGGGAAATTGGGGAGTACGAATATGGCGCAAATCGCGACCAAGATGGTAACGCCGCCTTCAATGTAAAATAACCATCTACAGATCATTCAGCTCCAAGGAGTGATAAAGAGACGATCGTCGCCTGCCTCCATGCAGCTTGACCAAGTTTGTCTTGCATACCGTGGAGTATAGCAGATGCTAACAGGGATCCGAATGCAGAGCTGAGAAAACTTCCACAAGTAACGAGAGCTATTCTCAAGGCGAGCTCGTCCCGCTTGTACCATTTAGATACAAGAAATATCATACCGGGGAAGAAGGGCGCTTCGGCGAAGCCAAGAAAGAAGCGGGCGGCAAGAATCCCAGTATAACTTAAGTCAAACAATCAGAGACTGGCTGAACGATGCAAAACAAAGATACGTACTTCTTTGTGGTCCCTAAGCATCATTAGCAGCTATCTTCATGAACAATCAGTGTCGACATACCTGTTAATACTGATATCACACCCCATACTAACATACAACACGGAATGATGACGGAAGGTCTCTCCAGCCAGTGCAGGAACATGTTCCTGGAGAAAAATTATGTGCAGCTGTCACTCGATGAATGACGAAACTCACCCTGGCACTTGCATCATAATGTATCCAACAAGTAGGATGGACAAAGTCGTGGCATATTGTTGCCCGTGCAGGTGCAGGTCTTTTTCAAACCTTGTAACCGAGCGTTGCTGTAGATATCATAAGATCAATGCAAGTCCAACGGTATGTAACACACCTAATATTGGTTGTGTCAATCTAGGATGCACAGTAAGTATCAGAATAGAATTCACAAAAACCTCGAACCCACCAGGTTCAGGGTATATAGAATAGATCAGTAGTATGGACATGCGCAAATCAATCTTCCTCAGTAATCTCTTCTCAAGGTCATCACGGGCATGGCAGGGGACATCTTTGGGCAAGTCATTGATTGTGTCGATGGTGTCAACCGCTGTTGAATCGCTGGGAGTGGCCATTCTTAAGGGGAAGGGGGGAAAACGCGATATGTAAGCTTGCATATCCATATCTTTTTGGCAATAAGTAGGCGAGAAGAATGGCGTGAATTTGATTACAGCTGGAGGCCATGGATCATCTGCCAGTGTCCCAGGTTAACATTAACAGGACTATCGCCGATTGATGATAACAGTAAATCAGGCTGCTCCACCAAGATCAACCTGTATTTTACCCAACCATAGCGATGCGCGGGATCGGTGACCCTGGTAATTGGTTTGGCCAGATGGCTGCCCTGAAGGATGAACAGATGACGCAACTTGAATGACAGAACTTCGCAGAAAGAATTTCGCTATCACCCGGCAGAACCCTCATGCCAGGGCCATCACATATACAATCCAGAATATGCAACCTATAGGCATATCAATATAAGCACACCCTAGAAATAGTTGATGGGACTGAGACATGTCGCGACGGCCCAGTGGATCCTTTTAACTGATGACAACCTGCAAGATGCTGTAGATTCTTCGTCAAGACTCGTCTGAACGCTGGTACATGTACAGCCATCGGCTGTACCCCTTCCCCATATAATAAGAGAATATTTAAGAGATACGTTACCCCCAAAAAGCCGAGAAGGGGTAGAAGCCCGTGAACTCTCCAAGCTATCGTGGATGAAGTTGCAGGCCATACTGTAGTTTTGATGCATTAAAATAGGCTAACTAGCAGACATTTCATGAGATCAACGTTGCTCAATCCAAATAGAGAAGGTGATGCATCAGGCAAAATACTTCGTGTGAAAAATTGACGGTCTCACCGGTGGCGCTTGCAGTCTCGCTTGAGACTGCAAACGTGACACGTGACTGCTCAGCCACAGCGTTCGCTTCCTTCTTTGGTTCCAATTGCCAATCGCGCTCCACCTGGACCTCGACCACCATCCATGCCAATCAAGCATGATCGGCATCCCCAAGACGCGTTTGCCGGATGAAAATCGGGCAGCGCTGGTCCAAGACGAGTTAATGGTATACAGCATCAGGAAAAAGCAAGCTGACTATATAGTGCTATATAGTCAGCATAGTTAGCGGGGCTCGGGAGCTACCTGCCTTGTATATAGCCAGTAAGGCAACTATGTAGTATTACATAGTACTACGAGGCAATACTGTAGTAGCTTGTAGTAGCCTGTAGTTCATAGGAATGCTCCTACAGGCAGCTACCAGCCGCTCCAAGGAGTTATATAGCACACTGTAGGGAAAGTAGCACATGAAATAGCACGGTGTAGAGACTCGCGTTTCTGCAGGCTCATATGGGCTCATATTACGAATTCTGATGACTGGCCTTCACGGCACAACTCGCACCATCACCCTCTAGTCATTCCCTATAGAGCGCACCACTTTCCCGCGGAACGCGCCATAGGCGCGACACTTTCCCGCACAATGCGCAGTATTCCTGCGTGCGTGCCTTGCGCACTTTCTCGCGCTTAAGCGCACTATGTCGCACAGCATCCAGGAACATCCATCCATCGTCCAACCAGTCCCTCGGTATGTCCCTTTTCATTATCTGACCATATTTAGCATATTACACTTCCCATTTCGTTATGCACCCTTACTTTACATCACCTTACCTCATTTACATACTTAGAGCGCTTCCTATTCGGCTCCGAGCCCTGGGAGAGCGCTTAGGTAGAACTTACATACTCTCATGTTCGTTTTACACCCAAACTATTCCACCTTACCAAAGCTTCATACCTTACCTTCCTACCACTCAGTATCTATCATCAGTTAGTTCCATGCAATGCATGTGTCCATCATCATTTTGAGGCCCTAGCATCAGTCTATAGCTAGTGGGCACTATCAGTATCCGTCTAGATCCGCACTTTCCCTTATCAGTCCCAGTATCCGTCTTCTACACTTGTGCACTGCTTGCACTACCTTCCCGCGCTCCGCGCACCTTCGCACTTCACTTTCCCGCGCGCGCCTTCAGCGCATTTCTCGCGCTTTCACCGCCATTCACCAGGGTTGTTCAGCATCATTCCGTGGATCCTTGCTTTCCTTGCTTCCCCTTTAGGGTCGAACGTTCTTGCATTCTGCGAGTATAGTTCATAGGAATGCTCCTACAGGCAGCTACCAGCCGCTCCAAGGAGTTATATAGCACACTGTAGGGAAAGTAGCACACAAAATAGCACGGAAATAAATGAATTCAAACACGTCAAACAAGCTAGTAGCAGATTCAAAATACCTAATCCTCAATCCTCGCCTCTGCTCTCGCTTGCCCCCACATCATCATCCTGCCCCTCAACTCTCGTTATCCTCCACATTGTCCTGCTCTTCAAGCTGGTATTCTCGGATCGCATCTTCAAATGTGTTGTCGTTAATCTGGTGGGGTGCAGCCGATATCATAGCAAGTGGCTCGACACCAGCATGGAAGCTCGAAAGCACAAATGTTAGGCTAGGGCTTATAAATTGAAGTGAAACATACCGAGCTGTGTCATGGAGATTGTCACAAATCTTCTCGAGAATTTATAAGGCGCTGTGTGTGTTGTTGGAAGCGCTGCAACGAGGCCAAATGACCTTTGTAGACAGAACCGTAGGTAGCTGATGTGAATTTGATATCTTCCTTGAGACCTTGAGCCCACTTGTCAATGCAACACTCGATCTATCATGATGAGGCATCTTCAGTGCCATTGACTTCAATGTAGAATACGGGATGTGACTCATGGCTGTCAGAACGAGTGCAACGACTTCGGTAGGTATGGGGTTGAAATACTTGTAGTAGATAATACCTTCGTCATTTCGTTTGCGAACCACATGATGTTGATGCCTTCTTGCAGTAATTGGTCTTGTAGATCCCAGTCTTCGATGTCCAATCCTATACCTAACATTCAGAAAGGTCATTTAAGACAATGAACTGTGTACCTTGAAAACAAATGAGGAACCCTCTTTCAAGGATTTGGCCTGATCACGGTTGTGCCTTATAACCTCCTTTGATTCACTTGAGCGGAACCCAAATATGAACAGTCAGCATCACATCTTTTTTTGAGTTCACCGCAGACGTGCGATGTGCGCTTCAAGATCTTCATAATAACATTTCTCAGACCGAAAACGCGCACAGAACATAAGGCTTACCATTTTCATTGCTGAAGGAGTTAATTTGATGTTGGCGCCTTTTATTTTGCACGACTCGTTCCAGGCCTCCTTCGCGAGTTTCATCTCAACAGCTATGGTGTCAGGAAATGGAGCATGTGACGAGTAGGCACCGGAAAATGGACACCGCCGTTACGAGAACTTCTTTTGAGATGTTGTCAAAGTCACTGACTTTCAGACGGAACCGTCCAATTCTTTCTTGATTTTCGGCCTTATCTAGCTCTTCTGGCGCGTATCGAGACATCGTTTTATCCCCTGAGCAGCCATTGATGATTCCATGGCAGTGTCACCATCCTCTGCACAATTGTCGATCTGGTCAGCCTCAGGTTCAGAGTCGTTACCAGACTCATCACTGGTATCATCCGAGGTAGTAGAAGTGCCGTCCGAAGTGCCGTCCAAGTCCCTATCACTTGGTGGAACTACTCTTTTAGCTTAGATAGAAATGTATTAGTTTCTCTATAATTTGCAGGCAGCAATTACATACCTTTCGGACCCTTTGTCAACTTGCGCGCACTGGTTGTGGGAGTGGTGGTGCGTGACGCTTTGGGAATCTTCCCCAGTACTGAAAGTCAGAAGCTTGGGTTTCGACAGCTTCGTCTGCACACTGTGATCTGAGAACTAAATAAAAACAATCAGTTGTTGATCGAGTCAACCGAAAAGAAATGAGTGATCAAACCATGGTGTCCTCCTCCTTGTCGATGTCGCTAAGCAGTACTGACGGCTCTTTTTCGAAATGGTCGGGATCATTTTGATAGGCCATCTTCAGCACCTTTTTTTTGCCGTTTTTCTAACTTATCTTGCTTTCTTGCTTGACGGTGGACGACCTGTTGTAATTCCAACCCTGGAGGGAGGCCATGTCACAAGTGAGCAAAATACAATGTCGTAGCAGCAACAGCAGCAACTTACCTTGGTAGCTTGCTTTTTCAGTTGGTCGTCGTTGACGACCACTCATGGTGCGTGCAAGTGGTTCCATTTCCAGTGGCGAAACCGGAGCACCCGATTTTGTTCGCTTAGAGGTGGCCTTGCGAAGAGCCATGGTTGTTGGACCTGGGATTCAGCAGTTTTTATAGCGCCGTGCAGGAAATAAACACTTACAATCCAAACCTTGAATCATTGTTGATTCATTTAATGCAGGGTTAAAAGCTGTGTTAAATTTTTGAATGATAAAATGAATGTACCTTAACAAAATATTTTAACTGTCATGGACACCTCAGTGAGTGGCTCAGTGAAAAAACGGTATAGAACTCACTTCAAACACTTGCCATGCTCTAACGAATATTACAGTCCTGTATCACCATCCACTGAGGCCACCTGTAAAGACAGGAAAATCGTTATAAAAAGGCAAGTTACCCCTTCTCAGTGCCCCAAAATACTCACTGACTCAGTGCAGGCCAAAGGTCGAAACACCTAATGTCGAGCTCCGTATGCCAGAGCCCACTCAGCCCATGGTCCCACTCCCCGCCATTTCGTCAAACTCCTGGCCCTGTCTTGGTATCTCAAACATACCTGCGAAGACTCATTGTGGAGCATTGGGAGGCAGAAGTGAAAGCCTGTGAGAAATCAAAACAATTGCGACTGTTAGAATTAGCACCAGGCCCAGCTTTGACCATCATACAAGCAAGTGTGAGAAGGCTCATCATTGAGCACTGGGATGCAGAGGTGAAGCATTGTGAGGAGGCAAAGCGGGTGCAATTATTGGAATTACTCCTGGCCGCCCATGGTATATCCAGACTAGGGTAGTGCCGTTAACCAAATTTCAATATGAGTCCGAAAATCGCGGAACTTACCATATATATCAATAAAAAATGTTGCCTCTGGCGGTGCTCTCCGTCATGAGGTGAGTGCGCATAAATCCTAACAATCCAATGCCAAACGATGTGAAAGAAGACCTTTTATGCAACTTCGTATCAGCAATTTTCTGAGCAAACTGGGTGAGGAGAGGCAATGTGGTAGACATGTCCATGGGCTTCTTGATGACTTTATAATATGTCAGAATAGTATCAAGCTTTACAGCATCTGTAGGATTATGATCGATCTCATCGCAAGGTACGAAATTGACTTTGGTCATACCAACAGGCTCATAAAATGGAGCAGCAATTGTTTGATGCTGCTTTCGCTGAAGATCGCTTAAGATCCTCCTGAGCAAACTGGGTGAGGAGAGGCATGACAGTGGTAGGATCATCGCGATAGAGCTCAGCTCTGGCACTTGGTGAGGGTGCCGGTGCTATGGGCAAACCTAAAAAAAAATGTGTGAAATGAACGTCAGAAAAATGTCAGAAATGATCTTGAAGTTGAAACGAGAAAAACGAACTTCAATCACTCACCAACAATGTCGCACAGCTGCGGATTCTGTGGCAAGATGTTCCCTTCAAAGGGAAGCGTCAAAAAGCATATATCTATTCACCCTGAATGTAAAGAAAAATGGGAGTCAATGGTGGAAGACACAGACAGCGAAGGTGGCCTACCAGACCTCTCATTCAATCATTCATCTCCGCTTCGCCGCTCACGCTCAACATCTTTCGATCCTCATGACAACCCAGCAGCCTCAAAAACTCGGCGGGTGACTACGGAAGATGTTGCCGATGAAGACAAGGACAATGTGATAGTCGATAACAGGCGATATTTTGAGCAGTGCCCTGATGCCAGCTGGACATTGCGGGAGGGGCAAACTAAGTTTGAAAAGTATCAGCAGGATAAGGAGGACGAGGGAGAAGATGAATGGGCACCTTTTTGTGATAAGTATGAGTCGCGTTCTGTTCATTGTGTCTGCAGGACGGTTAACATTTGTCACAAGGGAGGAATGGGAACTTGCGGAATGGCTTATCAGAAGCCTTGGGCAGACCCGTACAGACGAGTTCCTGAAGTTACCAATAGTAAGCTTGTTGGTAACCACTGAAAAAATGTGCTTACCGCAGCGACAGACTTGAAACCGAACACAGCCGTCCTTTCACAATAACCGATCCTTCCTGCAGAAAGTTGACAAGCTTCCACATGGACCTGCGTGGAGTTGCAAGAAGGTCAGCATTCAGGGAAACCAAACCGATGAGAATGGCTGGTTATTGCACGAGGATGTCGAGCTTTGGACACGGGACCCTGTAGAGTGCATCAGAGATCTCATCGGTAATCCTTTATTTAAGGAACACATGGTATACACACCAGCACAAGCATACAAGGACCACAAAGGACTTCACCGCGTCATCGATGACATGTGGACGGCGGACTGGTGGTGCGACAAACAAGTAAGTATCTGATCCAAAAAATTGAGCGAAAAAAATAAGCACTGACCTGCAATGTTCAGAAACAACTGCCGAAAGGTGCAACTATTGCACCTGTCATTCTCACGTCAGACAAGACATGTCTGTCGCAGTTCCGAGGTGACAAATCTGCGTGGCCTGTGTATCTCTTGATAGGGAACATCGCGAAAGAAAAACGAAGGGAGAGGTCAGCGCGAGCAACAGTTTTAATTGGGTACTTACCGGCAGGCAAGCTCGATTGTTTCACATCGGATTCACGATCCCTTGCTAGTTACAGACTCTTCCACCATTGTATGTCTCTCCTGCTTCAACCACTCATTGCCGCAGGACGAGACGGTGTTGAAATGGTCTGTGCTGACTCAATGGTCCGTCGAATATACCCGATCCTTGCGGCTTATGTGGCGGATTTTCCGGAACAATGTCTTGTGGCATGTTGCAAAGAGAATTGCTGCCCAAAGTGCCTGGTCGCGGCAGATGAAAGAGGCGATCCACTGAGTTCACCAATGCGGGACCCCCAGTTGATACAGTGGCTCAAAAAACTGTCCGCATGTTTTGACATTTTTCACTATCTATGATATTGTGTGAGAATGAACAAATTCCTCAAGGACATACTTATACCACATTGTAGTATGGCTTCAAAGCTTTTATTTGAGCCCTACACCGTGGGAATCGGCGGAGATATGGTGGAGATATAAGGCTTATAAAATGATGACTCATGTGGACAGTTTTTTGAGTGTATATTAAAACTATATAAATCATTATTTATGACACCATAAAAATCATGCCACTATTATATAAATTATAAAGTGGTGTCATTATGTTATTTTATGACTATATCTAACTATATAAACCAGAATATCTCATGTATCATAGTCATAATCACCATGAAAGCCATCTCCTCTGCTCAAAGAGATAATATCCTCTCTCTGTCTTATGCTGGCCTCTCTGCTTGCCAAATTTCCTCTAGAACTGGAATATGCAAGTCCACTGTGGCCAAGTTCATCAAAGAAAGCCACCCAGACAAGGAAAACTCTTGTGGAGGACGTCCATCCAAGCTTACCTCTACTGACAAAAGGGCTATTATCCAACATATCACTACAGGAAAGGCTGATAATGCTGTCCAAGCCACCCATTATATCAATTCCACCATCACTACCCCTGTCTCTTCACAAACTGTGAGGAATGTTCTCAAGGCAGCTCATCTCAAGGCAGTAACAAAGAAGAAAAAGCCTCTTCTCTCCATCAAACATAGGCAGAGAAGACTAGCCTTTGCCTTAGCTCATCAACACTGGACTGTAGAGGACTGGAAGCATGTTATATGGTCAGATGAGACCAAAATCAATAGGATTGGGTCAGATGGGAAGGTGTATGTATGGAAAAAGAAGGGAGATGGCCTAACAGACAGAGAGGTTAATGGGACTGTCAAGTTTGGAGGAGGTTCTTTAATGGTATGGGGCTGTATGGGATGGAATGGTGTGGGAATGCTTGCTGAGGTTGAGGGGAAGATGAATGCTGAGCAGTATGTGGACATTTTAAATGACCACTTGCTGCCTAGCTTGGCAGAATCAGGGATTGATGAAGAAGATATCATTTTCCAACAGGATAATGATCCCAAGCACACATCCAGAAGAGCTAGGGAATGGTTTGAAGAACATAACATCAATGTTCTTGACTGGCCAGCACAGTCTCCTGATGTCAATGTCATTGAACATCTCTGGGGAACACTCAAGAAAAAGCTTCAAGCCTATGAAAACCCCCCTAAAGGAGTATGGGAGCTTTGGGAGAGAGTAGCAGTGGAATGGGGGAAGATCACAGCTGAGGATTGCCAGAAATTAATTGAGAGTATGCCTAGAAGGATAGAGGCAGTAATTAAAGCCAAGGGAGGTCATACAAAATACTAGAATACCTGGTTATTACTGTAAAATACTTGAGTCAAAAAACTGTCCGCATGAGTCACCATTTTGTGAGCCTTGTATCTCCACCATATCTCCACCGATTCCCACGGTGTAGGGCTCAAATGAAAGCCCTGAAGCCATACTACAATGTGGTATAAGCATGTTTTTGAGGCATTTGTTTGTTCTCACACAATATTATAGATAGTGAAAAATGCCAAAACATACGGACAGTTTTTTGAGCCACTGTAAAAGAGATCTTAGAGAAGCAAAAAAAGGGTCAACATCCAAATGAATTCAAAGACTTTGGATTACGCACCGTCTACAGTCCTTTCTGGGCCAATCTCCCGCACACAGACATATTCCTTGCTTTTACGCCTGACCTCCTACACCAGCTCCACAAGGGCGTCTTCAAAGATCACTTGGTGAAATGGTGTCTTGAAATTGTTGGCGAAGCCGAGATGGATGCACGCTTCAAGGCAATACCGGACTATCCAGGTCTTCGGCACTTCAAAAAAGGAATATCAGCAGTAAAACAATGGACAGGCACGGAACACAAACAAATGCAACGTGTTTTCATAGGGTTACTTGCCGGCGCTGTCCCAAGGTACGCTTGATGTCATGCTTGCGGCTTGAACATTGTGCTAACATAATCAATTTTCATTTGCCAGTCAAGTCCTGGTAGTCGCACGAGCTATCTTAGATTTTTCTTACTTTGCACAGCTCCAAACACACACATCTGACACCCTTGAATATCTGGAGAACGCCCTTGCAGTATTTCACGCCAACAAGGATATTCTGCACGAACTTGATGTTCGTGAACATTTTAATATTCCTAAACTACACCAACTCTCGCACTATGTCCAATCAATCTCGTTGTATGGTACCACTGACGGTTTTCAACACGGAACTTCCGGAACGCCTCCATATCGACTTCGCTAAGGAAGCCTATCGGGCTAGCAACAAGCGGGATTACGAGGAACAAATGGCTCTGTGGCTTCAACGCCAGGAAGCCGTGTTCTTGCACAATTCCTATCTCGAATGGCTGTCTGTGCAGTCTCAGTCAGCCACCATAGCTGGTCATGCTGACCATGATGACAACATTGATTCAGGCTCGGATTCCGAGATGGAAGACTTGCAATTTGAGTCTCGCGCTGCCCCCGCCAAAGCACCTCCTGTCATTGGGCAATGTGTACTCCATGTTCTCGCCAAGGCTCCTGCGCACCCTCGGACATCCGTTCAGCAGCTCATCACTGCACATGGCGCAGTCTCATTTCTCCCAGCCCTCAAACTCTTCTTACACAAGCATATGCCACAAAATCAGCATTGTCCCTGGTCCACAAGATCGTTTTGACGTTTTCCGGCAAGTTGTCATTGTCGCTCCGCCGGATCCGTGGGTAGGTGAATCACCACGACGATGGCGCATCAGAGCAACACCCGAAGTACCTCCTGGTCCTGGCCGGAAGCCAGGATCCCCTGCCAAATTTGATATGGCGCTGATCAACAATGGTGCTCAGACCACAAATGTACAGACATTAGATGGTAAGTGGTTGTTACTATTTCGCCTGTTGCAAAATTCATATGGAGGCTGTAGGCGCACAAGTGGCACAAGTCCATGTCATTTTCACACTGCCTCGTCAGTTCGGGACGTATTCTCGAGCTTTGGCTTACATTGAATGGTTCACGCCATTCAGGGAGCCGGACCCCTTCTCTGGCCTGCTTCAGGTATCTCGTTCGACTCGACGACTGCATCGAAACGCAGCCATGATTCATGTTGACGAAATTCTTCGTCCATGTCACCTAATACCAAGGATGGGACAATCCATCAACCCCGGGTGGACAAGCGCGAACACCTATGAGTTGGCAACTGATTTTTATCTGAATACATTCATTGACTTAGATAGTTTTTGTATTTCCACTATTACTTAGTACTACACTGCTCCGTGATACTACAATCTGCTACTGTTGCTACTGCACTATAAGTCACTCGCAGCACCTCTGGTAGCTCTGCATAGCCCTCACTTCGGCTACATAGGACTATAGAGTAACTCGGTTGACTATATATCACTACTGCAGCTACATAGCACTATGTAACTGTCACTAGTACTCCCACCATTTTGGTTTTTTCCTGATGCAATCTCCGACTGCTCTTCACGGACCTGCAAAATAACTGCAAACAAGAGATGAATTGATGTACGGCCACCAACTAGGGTCGTCTGAGACAAAGGTCATAGTAGTACTGTTAGAGGATTGATGCGAGGGAGTGGGGAACTTTGTGGACGTATGATGAGGGAGTTTAGGCTAGATATACAACCATCCAGCGCTTGTATGGCCGAAATCACCATCATCAAGCACATTATATCCGTTCCCGTGTTGATTTACCAGGTATCTGAAGGCAATCAACAAGGAGAAATCAGACCAGAAGTCCTCGAAAGAACAACAGACTACAATTATAGTAAGGACTCACACATGGTTCGAAATGTTGAAACACGAACATCCTGAATCCTGATCTCGGCCACTGAATCATCCCGGTGTGCGTTTAGTTATCACCGAGACTTCGATCACATAAAATAAAGCCACTCATTCCTGTGTCTACCGCAGGTGAAAACATAGCCTCGATAAAGAGTGAGCATTCATTTCCATCATAACAGCCGCTGACGATATCCGGCTGCGGGATGGTGGGACACTGTCACGCAAACACGTACTATCGGGTCCACGACAGTACCGTAATGCGAAGAAACATCTTGAGAATGGCGGAAGCGGAAAGGGTTGCAACAAGTCGGTGGGTTCGGGGCATCACTGACACAGCTGATGTGATAGGCTCCGGCCATGTCGGCCATGGCTACAATATTATTTATGTGCTTCAAATGGACTTGACTCAAAGCCCGACTACAACCGTGAGCCTCACAGGCGAGACACAATGTATACCCGTGGCATACTGATACTACAGTTAAATGAGTTGTATCTGCGCGAAGGAAAAAATGGGTCGTACATACCTCCCTTGCATTACTATGAGCGGCGCAGAACGACCTGACAAGGTTGATATTAAGGTCGTTTCCCCTAATATGGAGACAGAGGATGGGTCGAACCTCACAAATTAGAATAAATTGCAGCGGAAACACCAAGTCCTGTGATCGTAATCAGATATTAGACAGCCCCACTAAATAGTTATCTCCTGTGCAATCGAATGTCGCTGCGGCCATTGCCTACACAGTCCCATCATCATATTCTTGCTTCTTATCTTGTACGCGGCCTGTCCCTTGCTCTTTTTTCCCTTAAGGCCCCTGAAAAAGTCAAAAAAAGTCCGGTTAAGACTCATCCGTGATTTTCCTGCATCATGTTACAAGATAGGCAAAACATGTTCCAAAGTTCAAACAACAGATGCAAAAATACATAGTCTCGCCACCAAACTACAGCTATGACGGACCTCTACGATAGTGCAACCAGGCCTTTAGATACGCCACTGCTCAAGTAGGGGTGAAAGATTCGAGTGCTAGCGCCGGGCTACGCGTCAATGGCTCAAGAATCCGGACTGAAGGTAAGAGAGAATTCCAAGGTGTCATGTCATGGACTAAATATCATGGAAGGCGACATCAATTGTGGTTACCTTGAATTGTTGAAACACATACCTTCACAAATTTCTGCCCTTCAGATAGGACGACAAGGCAAGATGGCAGACCCTTCAAACACCACTCCATTTCCAGCCAGGAGATAATATGATCATTCCAAAAAGCCTGGAATATATGGTTGAGCGTGTCATCCAATGGATGGTGAGCGCGCGAGAGATGTACAACCCAGTTGTGACAGGCGTACTTGAGAGCATCGGAAGCTGATTGACTTCGTTCCTGTGCTTCGTTTGCGAACCTCTCAAAGGTATTCATAGCATGAATTATCTCCCTGTCTGGGAGAAGATGACTTTCTGGTAATGCGGAGGAAGAATGATGCTGGTGTCTTAATGCCAGGAAGACCGGGAACATCAAGAAATCAGGCAAGGTCTTGAACTGCTGGATTACTTGGAAAGCGGGCGGCAAAGGCACATCGCTGATAACGATATACTCGTTGGTTGCTTCCGATATCCTCACGAATTCTTCCATTGTCACCCAGACGGAGGCCGCAGGAGTGGACTGCCACGCTTGACCACTGGGGTGTCTGCAGCCAGTCGCGCCCACACGGGGTCCGCAGCCAGTCGCGACCTCCCTGGGTCTGCAGCCACTGTCGTCTTCCTGGGGTCTGCAGCCAGTCTCGTCCTCCCTGGGTCTCCAGCCACTTGCGTCCTCCCTGGGTCTCCAGCCAGTCGCGTCCTCCTGGGTCTCCAGCCACTTGCGTCCTCCCTGGGTCTCCAGCCACTCTCGTCCTCTCTGGGTCTGCAGCCACTCTCGTCCTTCATGGGTCTGCAGCCACTCTCGTCCTGCCTGAGTCTGCAGCCGCTCTCCTCCTGCCTGGGTCTGCAGCCCGTCTTGTCCTGCCTGGGTCTGCAGCAGTCTCGTCTTCCTGGGGCCTGCAGCCAGTTCTTGTCCTGCCTGGGTCTGCAGCCGCTCTCGTCCGGCGTGGGTCTGCAGCCAGTCTCGTCCTGCCTGGGTCTGCAGCCACTCTCGTCCTCCCAGGGTCTGCAGCCACTGTCGTCCTCCCGAGGTCTGTACCCAGTCTCGTCCTGCCTGGGTCTGCAGCCAGTCTCGTCCTTCCTGGATCTGCAGCCACTGTCGTCCTGCCTGGGTCTGCAGCCAGTCGCGTCCTGCCTGGGTCTGCAGCCACTTTCGTCCTGCCCGGGTCTGCAGCCAGTCGCGTCCTCTCCGGGTCTGCAGCCAGTCGTGTCCTCCCGAGGTCTGCAGCCACTTTCGTCCTGCCTGGGTCTGCAGCCACTCTTGTCCTCCCGGGGTCTGCAGCCACTTGCGTCCTTCCTGGGTCTTTAGCCACTCTCGTCCTTCCTGGGTCTTTAGCCAGCTTGTGTCCTCCCCGAATCTGCAACTCTCGTCCTACCTGGGTCTGCAGCCAGTTGCGTCCTTCCCGGGTCTGCAGCCAGTCGCGTCCTTCCCGGGTCTGCAGCCAGTCGCGTCCTCTCTGGGTCTGCAGCCAGTCACATCCTCTCTGGGTCTGCAGCCAGTTGCGTCCTCTCTGGTTCTGTAGCCAGTCGCGTCCTCCATGGGTTTGAAGCCAGTCTTCTGCTTCCTGGGTCTGCAGCGAGTATGGTCCTGTGGTCCGCAGCCAGTATGGTCCTGCCCGGATCTGCAGAAAGTTTGGTCTTTCCTGGATTTGCAGCCAGTCACGCCCTGCCTGAGTCTGTAGCCACTCTCGTCCTGCCCGGGACTGCAGCCACTCTCGTCCTGCCCGGGACTGCAGCCACTCTCGTCCTGCCCGGGACTGCAGCCAGTCTTGTCCTGCCTGGGTCTGCAGCCACTTTTGTCCTGCCTGGGTCTGCAGCCAGTCGCGTCCTCCCGGGGTCTGCAGCCACTCTCGTACTGCCAGGGTCTGCAGCCACTCTCGTCCTGCCCGGGACTGCAGCCAGTCTTGTCCTGCCTGGGTCTGCAGCCAGTCGCGTCCTCCCGAGGTCTGCAGCCACTCTCGTCCTGCCTTGGTCTGCACCTCTCGTGTTGCCTGGGTCTGCAGCCAGTCTCGTCCTGCCTGGGTCTGCAGCCAGTCTCGTCCTCCCTGGGTCTGCAGCCAGTCTCGTCCTGCTTGGGTCTGCAGCCAGTCCCCGTCCTTCCTGGGTCGGCAGCCACTCTCGCCCTCCCTGAATCTGCAGCCACTCTCGTCCTTCCCGGGTCGGCAGCCACTCTCGCCCTCCCTGAATCTGCAGCCACTCTCGTCCTCCATGGGTCTGCAGCCACTCTCGTCCTCCCGGGGTCTGCAGCCACTTGCGTCCTGCCTGGGTCTGCACCTCTCGTCCTACCTGGGTCTGTAGCCACTCTCGTCCTCTCTGTGTCTGCAGCCAGTCACATCCTCCCTGGGTCTGTAGCCACTCTCGCCCTCTCTGGGTCTGCAGCCAGTTGCGTCCTCCCTGTGTCTGCAGCCAGTCTCGTTCTGCGGGGATCTGCGGCTGGAATCGTCTTCTCGGGATCAACAGCCAGAACAGCAGCCAGAATCGTCCTACTAGAATCTGCACCCAGTCTCGTCCTTCCACGATCTGCAGCCAGTCTCGTCCTCGGTTCTGCAGCCAGTCTCGTCCTCCCTGGGTCTGCAGCCACTTTTGTCCTGCCTGGCTCTGCAGACACTCTTGTCCTGCCTGGGTCTCCAGCCACGCTCGTCCTGCCTGGGTCTGCAGCCAGGCACGCCCGTCCAGACTCCACAGCCAAGATTCTATATCTGAAGTGCGATCTCCTCGAAGCCACAACATACACACAACAGCTGACAGTGGCTCTGGTGGCCGAACAAGGAACGCTAATGTGTCTTTTAACCTATGGGGGTCCTGGTGTTGCATAGCTTTGCTTTGCTTCTTCAGTTCTGAGAGCGCATCCAAGAGAGCCGTGCTTTTTGGAATCGCCTCCATCAAGCGGAGAGAGGAACGTGCGAGTAGGGAGTGAGGTGATTCGATATCTGGTACTTGAGGGAGATTGCAGTTTGAGGAGTCAGAAACGTAGTCGCGAATGGACGAGTGATAGATATTCACGGGGAGAGTGCTGTCTGAAGGGATATCCATGACAGACCGCAGCTGTATCAGCGTCGTTTGCACATCCCTCCCCAAACCAGGACCAAGAAGTATCGAGATTTGTGAGATGGGAAGAGGGTCTGCGAGGGCGGCGACAATGGACAAGTGCAAGTATGCCCGCTTGGGGTCGGCACACGTGGAGAGGATACAATCGTATAACTTGTACACCTCCGTTCCTGGTAGCAGCGAGCTCGTGAGCTCGATCATCAGCTGCAACCGATCGCGGGGATCACTGTCTTCATCGTCAATAATGAACTTCATCATCGTAGACGCCACGATGAAACGTCTGCCCGCTCGGCTCGCCAGCCTCGCAAAGTCAACCTCCGATGGCTGCGGGAAATGTGGATGGCGACTTTCTAGTTCTTTGAAAGAATGCTGCAAGAAAGTACAGATATCGCTGTCGACGTCTGCGCCGTCCAACGAGACGATGCCACCCTCCCCAGAAGTTCTCACGGGTATTTCGCGCACCAACAGGCGCACCTTGTCGTTCTGAAAGACTTTGCTAATATACGATTCCGAGCGACTTGTGAGCAGAATGTGGGTTATGGGTAGATCAGGCTCACGAAGAGCCTGTGCAAGGGAAAGGATGAGATCGGTAAGCTCGGGTTCGGATGTGCATTCATCAAGGGCATCGATAACAAATGACAAAGGCGGACATCCGCGCAATCTGAGTCGAAGTTTCCGGAGGGGTTGGAGAAAGAGGGCCTCCATCTGGTCGCAGAGAGGTGTGTCTGGGTCTAGTAGAGCGGGATTGTTGCGGATAGTTCTGTTCACATCATTCCGGATGCTGGGGAAATTGGTGGCAAGCTGATAGACAAGTGTTGCAAAAAAATATCCAGCCGTGGAACGTTTCGTGTGCTTGCGCGAGAAAAAGAATGTCCCCGCTAGCCGCTTCTCGACGTTGGTCTCTTCTGTCGTTTTTAGACCCCTCATCCTCTCAGCTACAGTGAATGCAACAGCAGACTTTCCGACACCTGCTGTGCCATGCAGCCACACGAGCTGATTCGTCTCTGTGTCATCCAGGAATCCGTGGATGCATTTGAGGAGATCCACCCGGGTCCCTTCCAAACATTTTGGGTGGGGCTGACGTTCACGGGAGTTATATTGAGCACCCTTGACAGCGACCTCGGAAAGCCTCGCCCAGGTTCCTTGAAGGACTGTCAAAGAGGTCAGAGAGCTTGCGAGAGATAAGAGATAGAAGTACTGACCTTGATCGTCACTCATTGACGAAGGTTGCGATATGTGTGATGAAATGGACCAATTGAAAGTACTACTTAGTAGCTGCGTTCGAGGGTACGGTCAGAAATGATTTGGGCAATAGTTATCTGGAGGGACGACATACGAAGATTTGAATCGAAGCTTGTAAGTTGTGACAAGACTTAGGTCACGAAACGACCCAGATGTCGATTGATGGACAGTGCGAAGCGTGATGAAGATGGGGTGGACGGATGGGTGTTTCAATCTATTCTGCTATGGACAGCTCGCTGGATGGTTGCGGAATGCAGTTGAAGGACGAGTAGGCGCTCGCCGTCCAGTGATTGCAGGAGGACACGAGGCTACTGTGCGGCCACACTATTGCATAGCCCGACAGAACCAGTGTTGTTACTAACCCGGTTATAACCGGTTAAGAGGTTAGTTAAATGGATCTGCGGGTATTAGTAGGGTCAATTGTGTACTAGGTGCTAATTGGGGGCGTAGCTGTTTTGACGCGGCAAATATTGATGAGTCTTGACACGGCTAGTACTGACGCGCTAGTGCAACTCATTCCTATGTTCTATATTCGACTCCCACATCAAGTTGTATGGGTTCATGATCATTCCTTCGTTGATTTTATTTACCACAGGCACGTATACTACTAGCTAGTCACATCAGCTAATATGACTATTTTCTTACCACTGACGCGACACTGACAAGCCTCGACGCGGCCACTGATGCATTACTGATGCGCCAGTGTTCTACATTAAAAGAACTTGACATGACTAGATATAATTGGTAATCAAAAAATAATTGCACATACTCTTCACTGATGGGCCCCTGTTTATCCTTGGAAGAATAAAATTACTTTAAAATGGGTAGGTGTTCTCAGTTGTGAATATAGAATGGCCTTAACATGGCCGAACTGTAGTTGCGACCTGACAACGTTGAATATTAAGGTCGTTTCCCACTGAAATTCAGTTAAAGGAGAAGGTCGGATGCGATTCACAGGGTATGTATCCAACTGCTCGCACTGTAACACTACATAAATTATCTTACATGCGCCGCATGCACCATATAACTAATAAGTACCACAAACGAAACTCAGAATCAAGCAAAAACAAAATTCTTCTACTCCCTCCAGAGTACCAGACAAGCGGCAACTTCATCAAGCATCTCCCGTGCTACACACCATTGCCGGTCGATATATGCACGCGCTCCTGGAAAGCGATTGAGGTCATGCCCGTTGCTGCGTCAGAGTCAGCCACGAGCTTCGCGTGATATTCTCGAACGCCAAGGATCAGGCGGGGTCCCAACACAACCATCTGCACGACCTGTAAAATTTGAAGAAACGACCATTCCACGGGATCATATTGGCCCTATAGAAATGATGAACTGTGGCCGCATACAGGGGTCAGTGACAAACTGGCATACCAAAGACAAATTATTTATGAGATTGAGACAAGAAACAGCAATAAAGCTAGCATGTCCGATCCTTCAGCGGAAAAGAGAACCATATTCACAATATGATCTCACCTCGCAAAGTAAAACATGTGAGTTTTCATCAACACCCTGAAACAGTCCCCAACAATTCCTCCTGCCGAATGCTGTCGCAGTTCACGGAAGTGTTTTCTAGCAATCCAGACTGCGAGACACAGTGCGAAGACCTCCCACACAGTGAAAAGTATCCAAACAATGCCAATACGAAGCAGGATATCTTCCGGGTAGACGATCGTGCACTGATAGGTGCCGGAGAGGATCAGCTCCTCTGGTATACATCAATAAGCTCCATTCATATTTTTTCATCCACAATTAAGCGTACCCCCTGAACCATGCACCGTTTCCATTGCCACGACCATCCCATTGAAAATGTTGAAAGCCAGGAAGGTGACAACGAGAAGTATCAGGATCTTTCTGGATCGTTGATACATGGCATGTAACCGAGCTATCATGATGACTTGCAAGATGTCTCAGTCATGTAGATATCGCCGAGGTCTGGCAACTGCAAAGCTCACCCTCCAGCATTGCAAATATCACAACATATGTCCAATTCGATATGACGGACAGAATCCAACCTGAGGAATCCAGTTAGTGACCAGCCTCGGGTAGCACAGTCCAAACAGACTCACATCTGTGGTAGTCATTATAGTGAACCAATGACCTGGTCAAAAATCACACTCACCTCTCCAGAACGCCATGGTTAATTGAAGGGGGGAGAGTGGGCATCAGTGCAAAAGACTCACTGCGTCTGTGCACAAGATTGTTGGAACACTGACTGTACGTCGCAGGTCAGAATAGGAAGAGATCGTGAATACGCGAAGACATACTCGGTATGTACATGCTGATTGTGAGATATGGTTCATCAGTACAAAAACAGTGTCGAGCCTTCCAAACATACACCGTATATAACATTCCAAGATAGCGCACCTAAAATATTTTCAAGAGTCGACATGAGCTGCCAATCACACCTATAATGCAAGCTACATACACCAAGATACATAACGGTCATGAGTGACCAACGTTGCCTCTGTCGCAAATTAATTTTGTTCCTCTGATGTGGAATTCCGCTCACCCAGATCAGTTCGACCTAAAATCATTATTAGCGAAATGACTGCTCCGGTCGTAGCATTACCATACCTCTTGCCCCAATGTAAGTGCTGTAAATACTTGTAGGATATCAGCAGTTCTTCAATATTATCATGCTCACCCCAATCATACGTCACTACAGCGGCGGCAGCAACTGCAAAACCACAGTCAAGGTTAGATCGAGACGTCCAAGTCAGCGCAGCGACAATCTCCGACTGCTCTCCACGGACCTGCAAAATAACTGCAAACAAGAGATGAATTGATGTACGGCCACCAACTAGGGTCGTCTGAGACAAAGGTCATAGTAGTACTGTTAGAGGATTGATGTGAGGGAGCGGGGAACTTTGTGGACGTATGATGAGGGAGTTTAGGCTAGATATACAACCATCCAGCGCTTGTATGGTCCGAAATCACCATCATCAAACACATATCTTCTCCTGTTTTGATTGACTATATATCTAAAGGCAATCAACAAGGAGAAATCAGACCAGAAGTCCTCGAAATAACATGTTATAGACTACAATTATAGTAAGGACTCACACATGGTTCAAAATGTTGAAACACGAACACCCTGATCTCGGCCACTGAGTCATCCCGGTGTGCATTTAGTTATCACCGAGACTTCGATCACATAAGATAAAGCCACATTCCTGTGTCTACCGCAGGTGAAAACATAGCCTCGATAAAGAGTGAGCATTCATTTCCATTATAACAGCCGCTGACGATATCCGGCTGCGGGATGGTGGGACACTGTCACGCAAACACGTACTATCGCGTCCACAACAGTACCACAATGCGAAGAAACATCTTGAGAATGGCGGAAGCGGAAAGGGTTGCAACAAGTCGGTGGGTCCGGGACAACACTGACACAGCTGATGTGATGGGCCCCGGCCATGTCGGCCATGGCTACAATGTTATTTGTGTTTCAAATGCACTTGACTCAAAGCCCGACTACAACCGTGAGCCTCGCAGGCGAGACACAATGTATACCTGTGGCATACCGATACTACAGTTAAATGAGTTGTATCTGCGCGAGGGAGAAATGGGTCGTACATACCTCCCTTGCATTACTATGAGCGGCGCAGAACGACCTGATAAGGTTGATATTAAGGTCCCTTTCCCTAATATGGAGACGGAGGATGGGTTGGACCTCACAAATTAGAATAAATTGCAGCAGAAACACCAAGTCCTGTGATCATGGTCAGATATTAGACAGCCCCACTAAATAGTTATCTCCTGTGCAATGGAATGTCGCTGCAGCCATCGCCTACACAGTCCCATCATCACCTTCTTGCTTCTTATCTTGTACACGCCCTACCCCCTTTTCAAATCTTTCAGGTTCATTATGCGCATTCGCCAGTTCCATAACGTTGAATTTTTGAAACCGATAATAATCTTCAACAATGCTCACGCCAAACGTGCTCTGCATATACTAAGGATCAAAACGCATCTGAACCGAAACGCGAAACAGACCTTGAAGACTTCTACCAGAACGAACACATCAGGATCGTCGAGGTCGACAGTATAATTTGACGGCATGCATTTAGCTACTTCTTGGATGATCTCCATTCGTGTTAGCGTATTGTGGTTACGCACGCGTAACTCGACTTTGTACTGAAGCAGATATTAGATTGCGAGCGTTATCCTATCTGTTATACGTGCCTTGCGAGCCTTCGGGGACCCTTCGGTGTTCTCTTGGGCACAGTAAGCAGTGACGGTTCGACGACATAAGGAGTGGATCTCCGGAAGGTTCGCAACGCATGTACCGGAAACTGGTGTCAGCCGATGCGTGTATCTGTCAAGCCGATTAAGTACGAATGAAGGATACGATGTATGGTTGGTTTTTACTTTGTTCTCGTGACGCCCGTTTCTTGAACGTTTTCTACGTGTTTCATCACCAATTTTACTGGGTCCACAGGGGGTTTACATGACATGAAAATTACTGCGTCAAGATAGTCAGAGTAAGTTAGGCTGATAGAATGTGTATGCTCGTACCGCATTGGGTGTTTGTCAGGCAGTTAACTGGTCCTCACACCGTCAGCTAAAGAAACGGACGATAAAGGATCATGATCACCTACCAAACCGCTTCTCCACTTTTGGCCGCTTCAACGCAGCGACCTCTTTTGCAATCTGCGTTTCTAGATCGTCCTCTTCATTCTCATCCACGTCCTCTCCATTATCCCGATCATTAACAGAGGGTACCGGAATTATGACCTTCTAAGGGCCACATGTCGGCAGCTAGCTGTCATATCATCATAAGTCGCGTGCGAGATCTTAGCTTTGACAGAGACTTCACTGATTCAAATAGATCGTAAAGCTCGCCGACTGTTCCTTTTTCCTTTCCCTTTACACAGGTTGCCCAGATTCCTGGGCCTTCGATTGTTCGCTTTACCCAGGTGGGTGATACGCCATCCTGCCGAAAGTCTAATTGGAGATCCGGAGGGTTTGTTGATTGTACTCACTGATCGATACTTGCGTTTGCGACCATTAGAAGGGCCGCTTTGTGATTCAGCCATTTCTTTGGATGGAAATCCAGAAGTCGTTCGAAATTTGGAACTTCGTTTCTGACGTGCCTGGCAGTCCGAGTCGATAACTTAGAAGATTCACGTTCGGGTACAATGCCTAATCAAGACAAACATTTGTCCCGCTTCCGCAAGGTCGTGCAGACAGCGAATTAAAAGTGACATATTATACATAATGAAGCGAGTCTGATATAATACGTGTCCAACTCTAGACCCTTGCAAGACGACGAACTTGAACCCATAAATACTATGAGGCGTTCAGTGACATTTTATTTTGAGCTATGATTCTTCATCGTCCTCCTCGTCAACATCCTTTGCTTCACCACCAGTCCATTTTCGTTCCCATAGTGGGGGCGGAGCGTCGGGGTGACGCTGTAATAATGGATGATCAAGGGGGAGGGCGCTTCTCGCCACCATTAGGCGTTGCTTGAAGACATCATGCTCCGCCAGAAGCTCTGTAACGTAATCGATAGCTGTAGCGCAGGATTAGAATAAATATGAATCAGAAGCAGAGATATGGTCTGAGCACTGACTCTTTGAAAGCACGACATGTTCGCTTTTTGGACCGGCCCTCCCATCGACCTTCTCACCGTCGTCATTTGCTGCCTTTCCTTTACACCGTCGTCTGCCAGCTTTCTTCCCGTTCGCGACCGCTTCTTCTTCTTCCATCGCCTCAGCCAACATGGCTTCTCGTAAAGATGGAACGATGTCGCACAAAGCCTCGTAACCCTTTCTTATATTAGCTCTTCGCTTCTGCTCCGATTGTATATGATTTGCTTTTTTCTGTGAGGGTGATAGAAGCGTCGCTGATCTACCAGCGTCACTCGCAAATTGCTGCGATGTGACTGACGACTGTCGTCGCCGTTTATTCGATACATTATGATCCGGTGGTGTGGATCGTTTATTCGATGAGAGCGGTGTGGGAGTGGTATGGTGCGTAGAGAAGGATGAAACTGAGGAAGACGGATCAATAGGAGACTGGCTTGACGAGGAAGATGATATATTCTCGAACGCGAACGTTCTTGCTCTAGTTCTTGTGGAGACTGATGAAGGATCCACGGTTCGTTGGAGAGGGGGTATGTGTGTGCGACTGCGGGAGGGCGGCGGATGGGAATGGCCTGTAGAGGCGTCATTGCCCTCTACGCGTCGCTCTCGACGGGTAGAATAGAGAAATGACAAGGAGTTTGACTGCGACTGGGGATGCCGGGTAACCGGTGGCTCCGACGGGGACTCACGAGATGAAGGAGAGCGAGCGAGTGGATACCGCCATTTATCCGTATCCAGCGACATGAGGTCTTTGGTTGCTTGAGCCAACGCTTCTTTCCCGTGAGCTGGCGGCATATGCTCATGCGAGACTTCTAGTTGCATATTCCATCCCGCTGAAAAGTCGGTGGTGTCAAGTGATGAAAGGAATTTCTGAAAGGCATGAGCCTCAGTAGGTGTTAAAAGTGACATAAGACTCTAGTTGTTGAACAGGAGCGATCACTTCAGGAGCACTTTTGTACTCTAGAAGATTTGCTAGTACGTGCAGGATGATGAGAGTTGAATTTAACGATATGGTCAAGGCTGAAATTGCTGTTGCGGCCACTTCGGGATTCATGAGACAGGTGGCTGTGTTTCCCCATGGGAAGTGCCTTTCTTGGTTCCGCGAAAAAAACTATGTCATCCATTTGTACACCGGTAAGTGGATCCCTGATGCCCACTTATGAGTCATGCGCACGATTTGTTATGAAGATGATGCAGCTAGATGTAGTTCTAGCTCTTTCTTCAATCCAACTTTGTGGTAATAATTTCGGTGACGATCGGAAGAGGGTAGAGTCAACGTTGCAACAGAAGTGCAACCGGTACTGTTGTCAATGTTCAATTGATGAACGAAGAAACCACTACGGTTTGCCCGTGCTTTAGAGGATAATGTATCAATCTGAAACAAGGGGGATGCGAAGGCGCGATGTCAGGACAGTACTAGTCTGGCCCGGTGTACTCGTAATCAGAATTCGTATCACCATCTCATTGGCGCTTCAATCATTTTGCAAGTTTCACGCTCGGCTGTAGTTGTCATGAGATGAGACATGGATTTGCGTGTCCTGGCCCCGTTCATCGCATATACAATTCATCATCTAAAACTTTTATCCGGGGAGGGCATAGTACTACCGTGACTGGAAAGCCTATGCTGGCTCATCAGCAGGATCTAGCAGGATGCTCTTACTGGCAATTTTTTAGCTTGGAAGTTTCCAATTCAATGTATCATGGGTTCCGTCGCCACCGCGGGAGTGATCCTATGAGGTGATCCACGTTCCGTTTTCTTGTCGATGCGCGTTTGATAAAAAATGTGCTTACCAAGTGATTTACCGACTCGGCTACCTCCGGGCCTTGGCGCAAGCGATGCCTTTGCTCATATTACTCGGAATGTGCAAGATAATAGAGCTCATCGCCGAAAACAATGAGCGGGAGTCTTGGCTGGGCAACCGGCACTGTTACGTTCCAGGAAGTAACTTGAAACCGGATATTATCATCTCGGATCTAGTGTCCTGCGGCGCCTGCCTCGGGACCTTGATAGCAGGAATAAGGATCGACCCATCATTAGATAAGCTTATGGGCTTAGGCTACTCGGGCTCGGCCAGGAGTCTCGATGTACTAGAAGTTCGAAAGTTCTATTCGGCCTGTCGCCGTCCCGTCTGTTCTGTCCCGTCCGCTCTCTCTGAAGGAGTCTGTCCGGTGTCCCGATGGTCCGACAACCATGATCATCTCACAGGTATCCCTAACCTAGTGCTAGAGATCATGTCCACGTTTTACATCGCTGGCAACAGACCTCATTCGTAAGGTTGTGCTTGCCCGGTGACGCCCACCAAATCCTTCCGACTCGGAGGCGTGCCGGATAGCCAGATAGGTCATTTCCAATTTGCCGGTGTATACCGGGCTGTCCAATGGGTACCTGGCGCTTGCATACTCGAGTTCCGGCCTGCGCCACGCTGCGTTCGTTTATTGTCCATCTAAGTATAAGCAGAGACTAGGTCTGTGCTAGATCGTCCGCTGTCAAGCTTGTCATCACACAAAGTCTATGTAGTGCTAGTCTGGGACTTGCCTTCGGCCCGCTGCTCCTCGAGCTCTCCATCCGTCAAATACCCACGGTCTACCATTGCAATATTCCTTCTGCTGTTTCGTTGCACCAATATTTCAGTGGCCAGTGCTCCCGCTTTCCAACACCTCCCGCTAAGTACTTCTCGCGCTATTGTGCGTGCTACCGCTCTCCGATCCTGCACCTGCCGTCCTCTCACTTGCATTGAGTGTTTTTCCCCCAATGGAACCATCGAGCACCTCCTCTCGCGTGCTCTTGTACAGTTTTAATAATACCTTGTGCCTACCCAATGATCTGTACTCTTACACACCCATGTCTCAACTGTATCGTCCCCCGACACCTCCTGCCCACTCATGTGAGCTCCCCGGTGTTCCCGTGCCTATCTTTGACATTCCCGATTTAAATTAGTTCATGCATGGAGCAGTTCAAATTCAATGTATTTGTAGATTTCTTGGTACCAAGTGTGACTTAAGCACTCTTAAGCAGACAATTTGAGAATTCAGTGATATGATTAAACCGTACGTGATAGACGCTCCGAACGGAGGATTCTTCCTTCGCTGGAAAAGCGTGAGGTGCATGATGCAGGGCAGCCAGGTATTATGTCAAAGGCAAGTAGCCGAATGTCACAGCAGGTTGACAACGGATCACACATGGAAGAAGCGACTTCAGTATTTGGTGTCCTACTAGTCGTCGAGGAAAACTTCAAGAACCAGCTGGAAACCTGAACACACAACCGGTGCTTGAACGCTAACCTGTTGCAGAAACGCGTGAAACCTATCAACGCTGGATAAAGGTGCGTTTTTAACCGGTCTACTTATGAGGACCCAGACTGATGTGGCACGACATTTAAATATTATATCTAACATCAGAGCCACACGTAGGTAATCCTCAATCTCATGCGTGTTCCAGTACAACTGATCAGATTGCCTCCACCCACCACCCGTCAACGCGTCAGCCCGATCTCATCTGTGGACGCTAATTTCTGGTAACTCGAGAACAGTATCACTCTTCCTCAACTCGCCATCATCTCTATCGGTATCTATCATGTTTTCATACATTTCCATCCGATGAGTTTAGTACAGTGGTCCTCGCCTGCCACGCTTTAACTCGCCTGTGTTTCTTTGCGCATCAGGCTTCAATATCATGATACCCCCATTTCTCAACCACCACTCTCGCTCTCGAAGCTTCAAGCCTTCACGTACAAGTGAGCCAATGTCATGGTACTCGACCTGCAACACACGGCAATCACCTCGAGGATAATTCATGATCCGAGGAGATGACCATGGGGTATGTGGAGTCCGACATCATTCAGACCATCCGCTAAATCCTAATTAAGCCAAGTTGCTCATTTGCTCCTCATCGCGAGTATTTTAGTGATTAACAACATCACAGCAGCTACATGTGACGTGGTTGCGCTCTGTTAGTGTATAGTCGCTAACCGAGTCACAAGTACGTCATCTTCTGGTCCTTCGATGCATCATCCGCAAGCAGAAAACCCGTCAAGATCGACCTTGTCGAGATAAGCCACAGGTACGTGAACTTTGATGTATCCGATGTTTGAGTCGGTATCAGATGGGATCAAGTTAATTCCTCGTGCATGCCTCAGACATTCACTCTGCCAGTTTCCTCCTCTCTACTAGGAGATCCCACCATCATTAAACCCGCTGCTGCTCAAGACTCAAGTATGTGGCCAGGCGTTCCGCGCCGCTCATAGTAATGCAAGGGAGGTATGTACGATCCATTTTTTCCTTCGCGCGGATACAACTCATTTAACTGTAGTATCAGTATGCCACGGGTATACATTGTGTCTCGCCTGTGAGGCTCACGGTTGTAGTCGGGCTTTGAGTTAAGTTCATTTGAAGTACATAAATAATATTGTAGCCATGGCTGACATGGCCGGAGCCCATCACATCACCTGTGTCAGTGATGCCCCGAACCCACCGACTTGTTGCAACCCTTTCCGCTTCCGCCATTCTCAAGATGTTTCTTCACATTATGGTACTCTTGTGGACCAGATAGTACATGTTTGCGTGTTAGTGTCCCACCATCCCGCAGCCGGATATCGTCAGCGGCTGTTATGATGGAAGTAAATGCTCACTCTTTATCGAGGCTATGTTTTCACCTACGGTAGACACAGGAATGAGTGGCTTTATTTTATGTGATCGAAGTGTCGGTGATAACTGAATGCACACCGGGATGACTCAGTTGCCGAGATCAGGATGTTCGTGTTTCAACATGTCGAACCATGTGTGAGTCCTTACTATTTAAATTGTAGTCTGTTGTTCTTTCGAGGACTTCTGGTCTGATTTGTCCTTGTTGATTGCCTTCAGATACTTGGTCAATCAAGACAGGAAAAGATATAATGTGTTTCATCATGCTCATTTCGGCCATACAAGCGCTACATGGTTGTATATCTAGCCTAAACTCCCTCATCATACGTCCACAAAGTTCCCCGCTCCCTCACATCAATCCTCTAACAGTACTACTATGACCTTAGTCTCAGACGACCCTAGTTGGTGGCCGTTCATCAATACATATCTTGTTGGCAGTTATTTTGCAGGTTCGTGGAGAGCAGTCGGAGATTGTCGCTGCGCTGACTTGGACGTCTCGATCTAATCTTGACTGTGGTTTTGCAGTTGCTGCCGCCGTTGTAATGACGTATGATTGGGGTGAGCATGATAATATTGAAGAACTGCTGATATCCTACAACTATTTACAGCACTTACATTCGGGCAAGAGGTATGGTAATGCTATGACTGGAGAGGCCATCTTGCTAATAATGATTTTAGGTCGAACTGATCTGGGTGAGCGGAATTCCACATCAAAAGAACGAAATTAATTTGCGACAGAGGCAACGTTGGTCACTTATGACCGCTCTGTATCTGAGTGTACGTAGCTTGCATCATAGGTGCGATTGGCAACTCATGCCGACTCTTGAAAATATTGTAGGTGCGCTATCTTGGAATATTGTATGCTATGTATGTTTGGAAGGCTCGGCACTGTTTTTGTACTGATGAACCATATCTCACCATCAGCATGAACATACCGTGTATGTCTTCGTGCATTCACGATCTCTTCCTATTCTGACCTGCGATATACAGACAATGTCCCAACAATCTTGTTGACAGATGCAGTGAGTCTTTTGCACTGATGCCCGCTCTCCCCCCTTCGATTGACCGTGGCGCCCTGTAGAGGTGAGTGTGATTTTTGACCAGGTTATTGGTTCACTATAATGACTACCACAGGTGTGAGTCTGTTTGGAGTGTGCTATCCGAGGCTGATCACTAATTGGATTCGTCAGGCTGGATTGTGTTCGTCATATGGGATTGGGAATATTTTGTGGTATTTGCAATACTGGAGGGTGAGCTTTGCAGTTGCAAGACCTCAGGGATACCGACTTGACTGAAACATCTTGCAAGTAATCATGATAGCTCGGTTACATGCCATGTATCAACGATCTAGAAAGATCCTGATATTTCTCGTTGTCACCTTCCTGGCTGTCAACATTATCAGTGGGACAGTCATGGTAATGGAAACGGTGCAAGGTTCAGGGGGTACGTTTAATTGTGGATGAAAAAAATATGAATGGAGCTTATTGATGTATACCAGAGGAGCTGATCCTCTCCGGCACCTATCAGTGCACGAACGTCTACCCGGAACTTGTTAACCTTCTGGATTGCATTGCTTGGATACTCAGAATTGTGTGGGAGGTCTCCGCACTGTGTCTCGCGGTCTGGGTTGCTGTGAAACACTTCCTTGAACTGCGACAACATTCGGCAGCAGGAATTGTCGGAGACTGTTTCAGGGTGTTGATGAAAACTCACATGTTTTATTTTGCGAGGTGAGCTCATATTGTGAATATGGTTCTCTTTTTCCGCTGAAGGGTCGGACATGCTAGCTTTGTTGCTGTTTCTTGTCTCACTCTCATAATGAATTTGTCTCCAACGATCTTAGCGGTATGCCAGTTTTTCACTGACCCCTGTATACGACCACGGTTCATCATTTCTATAGGACCAATATTCCCTGGAATGGTTTATTCAAGTTTTCCAGGTCGTGCAGATGTTTGTATCTGGACCACGCCTGATCCTTGGTATTCGAGAATATCATGCGAAGCTCGTGGCTGACTCTGACGCAGCAACGGGCATGACCTCAATCGCTTTCCAGGAGCGCGTGCATATATCGACTGGTAATAGTGTGTAGCGCGGGAGATACTCGTTAAGTTGACGGTTGTCTGGTGCTTTGTAGGGAGCAGGAGAATTTTGTTTTTGATTGATTCTAAGTTTCGTTTGTGGTACTTATTAGTTATATGGTGCCATGTAAGCTAATTTATGTAGTTGGCGTCATCGGCGTGAGTCGGGAATATTTATGATGTTGAATACATTAACGTTTTCCGCGTGATGGATCAATGTCACGCTTGCATTTGAATGGAGGTAAGATACGATGCGATGTCAGAGCCTCGAGGATGGCAGCTATCGTCAAATATAACGTGCAACTTACCACGGTCAAACCTGCCACGACGTGAGCGCTGCAGCATACATATGCGTGTGGGTACATATTCAATATCATGAATATCTTGGCTCACACAGTTGCATTGACGCCAACGACATAGTAAATTAGCTTACACGCGCCATACCATCAGGAAAACCTTCCCGTCCTAAATTTCTTCATATTATCTGAATTAGTTGAATTAGCAGAATTTCCGATACCGCGTCTAATTATGATAATTCTGTCAAAATATACTAATGCTCCAAGGACCTGCGATGAAATTCTACTGAAAGGTACGATATCGTGGATGTAAGGCAATACACATAAAACAATACACATTAAAGCAAGATCGATACTAAGATATCCAACTAGTAGGTAGTCAGTACTAAAGAAGCCCAATCAATTCTCGACCACGCGTAATGATAAGATTGCACAACCGCATGAGCCTGACATCAGCAAACTACAAATTTGGTGACAGAATCAACACGTCAATACAAAGCCATACAAGTCCATAGACGGTACATGGGTACAGTACTACAGGTGTCACAAGGATCTACAAGGATCCACAGAACGACACAAGGGCTACAAAGGCGACAAAGTGATCGCAACACAAATAGAACTATTATATATAGTACTATATACTTGAAGCCCAGTAAAAACGACAAGAAGGAGATAGATATGTGTAGATAAGGAGCGAAAAAAATATCAGTGAATAAATGTTTTTGCTATGTTTCGACCTGTTTATAAAAGTGGGACTTTTCGAGACGCAAAACGATAGAGATCGAGAGTTAAATTTACTGCTTAGATAGGATTTTCGATGGCCTTAGATGAATTTTAGATGCATAAGTGCGCTGAATTTGGGTGGGTGAATACATATCTAATGCCATTAGTATCTAAAGGTATCGCTGTGGTTAGGTGCTCATGGTATCACTGCGCCCACACTCGCCCGCCATCCCGCCCTTCCCGCCATCCCGCCCTTCCCACCTTCCCGCCATCCCGCCCTTCCCCCTTCCCGCCATCCCGCCTTCCCGCCTTCCCGCCTTCCCGCCTTCCCGCCTTCCCGCCTTCCCGCCTTCCCGCCTTCCCGCCTTCCCGCCATCCCACTATCCCGCCTCATATCCATTACTCCTCGTCCGCATCATCACAGGCGCCGCTCCCTTCAGTAGTGCCAGCTGAGTTGAGCTATAAAGTAAACCATTGTTAGTATTAAATTAGGCTATGATGAATACCACGCACCTGTAGAGCCGCTTTGCGCTTGTATACCTATAAGAGTAGTTGTCAGTAGATAAATGATATCAATATTAAAACGATGTACCTCTTTGTCGGTGCTCGATAGGCCATTCCAGTAGGTCCCAAATATGCTTGCTGGTTCTTTTTGATGGCCGTTTTATTGCCATTCAACGGCGCAAAGATTCCTAGAATAATGAGTTAACCTTACTTGCTATGATAATAATAGATAGAATAGAACTCACTGTGCCGTGATCTTGGAGCTCACGGGCATAGGCTTTGTGCTTGGTTGGCGCTTCTTGATTGTATTAGGGCGTGCTTTCATCTCGATCGTGGTGCTTGATTGGTTGATGAGTTTGGCCTTTACAGCTAGTGAAGCTCCGTCAGTGCACGAAGGTGTAGATGGCGGTGCAAGAATTGGGCTGGTTCCAGAAGTTGAAGCAGTCGGAGAGTTGATGGAAATGGAAGGGGATATCCGGTTGACTGGCTTGGGCCTAGGTTTCAATACAACATTAGACCTACATAAATAGATCAATCAGTTTAATATCAGACAGATCATGAGACCTCACAGCGGGTTTTTGATCTAGTGATTTTAATCAAGTCAAGTCAGCGTCTGGATTGAGTGTGTAAATTCAACTCACCTCAATAGTAGTCAATTCTTTATCTTTTCCTTTGTCGGCGCATGGTGGTGGTGTTAGTTCACGCTCGGGTAAGGGGTGTTGTGGCATATCAGGTATCTGTAGATAGGTCGATTAGTGAGCATCAAGTACTGAACAAAAACTTACCACTTCGTTGTTCTTGGTGATAGGTTCAATGACAGGCTGATCGGTTCGTGCTCGTTTCTTTGGATGATCGGCTTCGAGATCTTGATCAGAATTACCCCCGCACTTCTGAACTGAGGGTAAGGCGTCTTCTGAGAGATCTGGACTACTCTCTCCATGCTCAGCCTTGATGTGCTTGCCAGTTCTTTTCTTCACGTGGTAGTTGAACCACTGCGAGTAATTGTTGGTCATGAGTTTCATGACCTTCCAGTTGTCAGCACATAGATGAAATTCGAAACAATGTTTGCGTAGTGTGTGAATCAGCCAGTGTAAGACTTGCAGGGATGCTTGGCCAATAGAATCTGGGGCGAGGCCTTGAGTGTCAAGTTCCTGGAAGCTCGAGAGCATGAGGTTCCAGGATTGTCTTGGCGCATTGAGCCGAGACAGATACACCTTGCTCATCCTGTAGGTATGTGCATGCAACATTGACGCCTTGCACCATGCGCCCAGATCCTCGAGATGAGCTTCCGGAAGTTCCAGGCACTGCTGATGTCGTCTTGGGACACTGGTCCTGCCATTCCTTCTTTGTCCATGATTTGACAGATGGGTAGTTCTTTCGATCAAGTTCTCGATCAGATTCCAGTGGGGACAATTCTGTCCACTATGGAAGGCTTGTCGTCAGTGATGGTATTCAAGGTGTCAGAAGGGGGCGATGATGATGGTGATGTCGAGGACACGGAGCTTGTGGAACCTCGGATATTAATGATCACATTTCTGTAGCAATTTTTTGAGTGCATATATGTGCATATATCCAGTGGAATTGACTTACTGTAAAGTCTGGCAGGTCATATTGAGACCAGTATTCTCCTTGATGAGCCGAAGTTTATCGGCTTGTAGACTCGCAACAGCATGCTGTAATTCAGTGAGCTGCTGTTTGAGTTGCGCAACATGACCGTTGTCGGAGTCCTTGCATGCCAATGGATCTTGGCCGAGTAGAGAATCTAGATACATCAGAGACTCACCATGTGTTTCATATGAGAACATGAGCTTCAATACATCAATGTAATTAATATGATGACTCACACTAGGTTCTTGAATTGCCATTGGGTCGCACGAATAGTATGTGTCGCTGGGCCCAATATTCAGATCTAAGGGCTGTGATAACGAGTGTGAATTAATTTGAGATGTCAAGGAGTTGAGGTATCCGGCGGATGAGATTGTGTTTTCGAGGGACATGATGGTATGAGTTTGAGGGAGTCGAGAAAGGAAACTCACCAAGTCCGCATATTACCAGGTATCATTATGCTACCACCAGCTGTCCAAGATTTTCTGGACATGTCTTCAGATCCAGATTTTGATGATCTCAATGGTTATCAAGCTGATACCAGGTGAGATAGATCTGTATTTTCAGTTTACATCTAACAACTCTATCTAGTATCAATACCAATGATTCCAATGACACCCGCTCTAGTACACCTGTCATGACTCTGTCAGACGACCTGCTTTCCAATCCTGCATGTTGGCCTACTCACCATGCTGACAGGATTCGCGCACGTCTGTTGTCACTAATGGAATTACTGATGTAAGTTTTTATTTTTAATTCTGCGCACTTTTACTTAAGAAAATAGTGTACCTACAACTACACCTTCGAAAGAAGATCCGAGCAGTGTCATGGAGCCTGAAAGCAAAATCGAAGAACCACCACCTGTTCCTCCTCCTCCTCCTCAAGAAGATCCCAGCAGCATCACGGAACCGGAAAGCGAGCCCGAGGAACCACCGATCAAGAATCTTCCCCCGATCAAGCATCCTCCCCCCAAAGACGATCCCAGCAGCGTCATGGAACCAGAAAGCGAGCCCGAGGAACCACCAATCAAGACTCCAATCAAGGGCGCAACTACCACTCCCAAAAAGAAGAGCTTCTTTGACACTCCGAGTCCCCCAGGACCTGACTCGTTGTATTGGAAGTATGTGTCGTGAGATGAGGATGCAAAGTGGTATGATAGGTTAGGAACAGATCAGAGTTTTGACACAGTTCGCAAAATCAAGGCGGAGTTGCGTGACCTCCATTAACATAGTGTTGTAACTAATACAAAAGTTTGAATGTACATATGCTGATGGGATCAGCGTCTTCTGATGGGATCACTATTCCTCGTCAACTATAACCTCCTCAATACCACCCATTCTCAAAATATCTAACCCCGGTCGTTCTATAAGGTAGAAAAGAGTGCCGTCAATACCTGGAAATTGGTGGGGGACCATCGCAACTACTGATTGAATAGTAGTAACCTCAACCAATTTCAACAAGGCATCTGCACGATGGGTACACGCATAGACCATTTGAAAAGATTTCTCGAGGAGATCTGAGTGTGGTTGGCTGTATTCAGAAACCAGCGCGAGTGTCTTGTGCCGATTGTGAATGATCATATTGAAGTAGAAGTATACTTCGGTGATGCTCATATGTCCGTCAATGAATAACTTTGAAATGAAAATCAATATAAGTGTGCGATCGATCAAAAAAAAACATTACCTTCACATTCCGCGACATTGTTGGCTGCCTTGACATCGTGTTTTTCCAGGCCGATCGTGCAATCTGTCCATTAGGAAGACGCAGCCGAGCCCATCTCGTGACAAGAGGAGCAGAATCGGTGTGTATGCCATTGATGGCCAAGTAGTGAAGGATGGTGTCAGATTCACACGGACGGACTAGATGGGCCGATCGCTCCCTTCAACGGAATAATAGATACCCTTGTCTGAGATCCAGCAATCCTTTTGGGGGAGTGTTACTTGATGGTTCGATCATTGGAATGATGGCTTTGATGGCGTTGATTTGGCAGCAGCGGGCAGCACATTGAGAGAGGTTAGCGTAGACAGAGGAGTTGTGTAGTCTAATTTCCTGGGCAAGATTGTCGATTGTGTGTTCCATAGTCCATTGTGATGAGCAGATAGGTGGTCCCTTGTTGACTGTCTCACCAGCAATATGTGTGATTGAGTGGAGCCATGGTCAAATGAAATGAAGTCGAATGATCCGGCGCTGGTAGTAGAGCTCTTCAAATTCATCTGTGAAGTTAAGAAGGTGATGGTGGCCTTCAATGAGATCTGATCTAGATATATGGTATTGTTGCATTATACGTTGTAGAGACTCGCATTTCTGTGGGCTCATATGGGCTCAGTTTACGAATTCTGATGACTGGCCTTCACAGCACAACTCGCACCATCACCCTCTAGTCATTCCCTATAGAGCGCACCACTTTCCCGCAGAACGCGCCATAGGCGCGACACTTTCCCACACAACGCACAGTATTCCCGCGTGCGTGCCTTGCGCACTTTCTTGCGCTTAAGCTCACTATGTCGCACAGCATCCAGGAGCATCCATCCATCGTCCAACCAGTCCCTCGGTACATCCATCGTCCAACCAGTCCCTCGGTATGTCCCTTTTCGTTATCTGACCATATTTAGCATATTACACTTCCCATTTCATTATGCACCCTTACTTTACATCACCTTACCTCATTTACATACTTAGAGCGCTCCCTATTCGGCTCCGAGCCCTGGGAGAGCGCTTAGGTAGAACTTACATACTCTCATGTTCGTTTTACACCCCACTTTTGAACCTTAGCTTCTTACGACCATCTTTCCACCACCATGTTAGTTGGCAGTTAGTTCCATGCAATGCATGTGTCCATCATCGTTTTGAGGCCCTAGCATCAGTCTATAGCTAGTAGCACTATCAGTATCCATCAAGATCCGCACTTTTCCTCTTATCAGTCTCAGTATCTGTCTTCTACACTTGTGCACCGCTTGCACTACCTTCCTGCGCTTCGTGCACTTCGCGCACTTTCGCACTTCGCTTTCCCACGCGCGCTTTCTCGCGCTTTCACTGCCATTCACCAGGGTTTGTTCAGCATCATTCCGTGGATCCTTGCTTTCCTTGCTTCCCCTTTAGGGTCGAATGTTCCTGCATTCTGCGAGTATAGCAGCTAGGCAGAGCTGAGACTCACTTATACTGGCTGAGCACTTTTCTTATATGTGCCTGCCAGGTTGTGATACCCACAATGTAGTCCCCGGGCAAGATGACAGAAATGTGACCAATAGGGCTCAGGAAGGATGCCGTTAGAGTGTGGCTGGTGCCATCCCATACAGGTAGAGAAGCCATTCCTATGCCTTATACCCGCTGCTGATCTTCTCTGCAGGGTTATGAGGAGGTCGATCAAACGAACCCGGCAGAAAGGGTGTTGCATCTGCGATAAGAGATCCATGTGCCTTCCAAGTCGCCTTCATCAGAACAGCCCAGGCCCACACAGATTTATCATCCATAGTCTCGGCTCTAAAGGTTCCTCTCCAGAGGGGTAGAAGGAGGTCGCCGGTATTGATGGCAGCGATGTGCATGATGTCAGAGCCAAAGCACAGTGGCACCAGCAAAATACGGTCAGTGTCAGAGCCGCAGAAGATGCTTGGTTTCGTAATGCCTGTCTTGAGGCATGCAAGCTCGTATTCGGCCATGTTGGAACAATGGATCACATGCTCAAGGTTCCATTCATAATCAAATGATCCAGGAAGGGGAAGCCAATCAATGAAGAAGTTGGGGTGATCAGCTCAATTGGTACCTTCAGGTTGACGTAGGGCAGGATAGTAAGTCGGTGCACCTGGTTTGTGCCTCCCCGGGAGTCCGCAATAGAGACGGCATGCGAATCTGCCATGGTGACGACGAGGCCAGTGAGGAATGCCATACTGGGGCTGTCTGCTGTTGCAATGAAGAAAAAGGGATTAGATCTGAATAGAATCTTCTTTGCGCTGTCCCAGATTGGTAGCCCTTCAGTCTGGATCGCGCGAAGATGGTGTAGGCTGGGAAAATGAAAGAATCTAGATTTTTCGTTTTTTTTTGGGCCGGGGATGATACCACCTGGGAGTACATACTTCTTCTTGTACCGTTCGTCTGGCGCGTGATCGAAGATTACCCAAATGTATATCCAACAGTTGGACTGCTTTGATTCATAGAGTTGCGCTCTGTCAATTGAGAACATGAGGACCGCATCACTGTCTTTAATCTTGCCAGATTGGCACACATCCAGATATTGCTTCCCATGGAGGACATCTTCGTATACCTCCGGAATGCCATCGGTAGTCTTCAGTTCATTGATGATCTTGTTGGTGTACTCCTGGCGCCATCGCATCTTCTCGGCCTGGTCTGGATGGCGCCATAGGGCCTGGAGCTGTGGTCCAACAGGGAAATGTGTCAAACATTTTCTGAGCTACCTTCTTCTGAGGTGAGCTTTTTTTGGTGTCCCATCGATCTTCTCCACATTGAGGACAACAATTGATCTTGGCATACGGACCTGTGAATGCAAGACACGTGTTTGCACACATGTCATTAATGATCGGGACCACACCACTAAGCTCACAGACAGCTTGCTTAACCTGGTAATGACTGTATACATCATCTTCAGGGTGTCGTCGATTGTGGCCTCGCGGATGAGATTGTAAGAAGTGATTGTTGTATTGGCAAAGTAGTATTTTAAGGACAGGATAAGATCGGGATCTGATATATTGGGGAGTTCGCGGGGAGGGTTTCATAGTCTATCTAGTGCATCTGGAGGTAGTTTAGAGTGTGCGTCGTCTAGGGATGCTTTTCGGAGAGCGGTAATGAATGACATCGAGTCCTGGGCATTTTCGAGGCATGCCATCTGCTGTAGCTCATCCAGGTCCTCGTCCGTCCAGCCCAGCATGTCTTGATCAAAGTTCTCGGGTATAACGTCCTCAATTCGAGCTTCCTCTTCCTCCTCTCTGTCCTCAGATCCCATATCACCAAAACTGGTGTCCTCAACACGAGCTTCCTCTTCCTCCACCCTGTCCTCGGGTCCCGTATCACCAAAATTGGTGTCCTCAAGGCGATCAAAAGCTCTGTCGAGTGCGTCAGGGCCTGGAATATTGTCAGCAGCCTCAGGTATATCAAGATCTTATTATTCATATCAGCAAATTGATATTGATCGCAGGGTTATGAATGCACCATCTTCTGCGCCATCAATGGCAATAATCCAATCATACTTGTGCTTCGATATGGGTGGCTGTTTGTTTTCGCATTTCCCTATTTATATCCCAATGTTTGTACTGAAATGATCCTTCTTCTTCCCGAACTTCGATATCGAACCATCGCACTCGAGCTCTCGAACTCTCATAATATATAATGTTGTCCTGTTTACTCGTATCCAATCCTTAAGTGTTATCTGTCCACTGTCATCTTGGACAGATTTCCAGTATCAGAAAGGGCCTTGCAGTTATTAACGTCCTCAGTCACTCAGGCTCAGGGGTTGTCCTTCTTATCCGAACGCATACTTAAGTACTGTCTACAAAACTCTTCTTTCCTCTAACATGCTTTTCAACGAGGCAGGTGTGTTGCTTCTGACGCTGTGGCTAGTGGATTTTCTGCACCTCTGATCCAGTGTTCCAGCGTGTTTCAGTATGCGAGTGCCGAAGGAAACCATTCAGACATGGTGTAAGTTCTGAGCATATCATTGAGGATCTAGGTGATATCGTAGAACATCATGGCTAACTGCTCTACCTGCTACGTACAGTGACTCATGGAGGCAGAATCTATCCTGGAGGAACCACCACTGTCGCGTCTTTACTTTTTTGCCGTCAGTCGCAAAGACGAGTGGACAAGCATACTTTGCAGAAGACCTGGTAGTGGTGAGATGCTTCTTTAACATCAGGTTTTCCTCTTTAAGCAGGCTTCCTATAGGTGATACATGTGGGCTGGATTTTGCACTGCGTCGCTGCATTCGTTTCGTGTTCTCATTGTGGGCTACATACTTGATGGTACAATTACGTCTCATGCTGCATTATTGGCCGTCAAACACTCTACTTATCATGACACACTACTGATTTATCTGCCCATTTGATATTTCCCCTGCCACACCTCACACCTCTGGATCTTATGTACCCCCTCCACAGATGGCTTTGATGCTGGGCTGCCTTTCAGTCGTATGGGAATCCAAGATCACACACTCGCCTCTGTAGTATCCCCTCGATATCCACAACGGGTATCTCGCCCTTTTGTGCCGCGGAGTCAGCTACAAACACCTCCCTGCATCCTGCCTGAACGTCCTCCAGAAGAAGCGAAAGTGCCAGAGAGACAGCCCCGCCTACCCCAATGCACTGCATAGTGAATCAGGAGACAGTCTCCTGCGACGTCCACGTAAATGCCATATGCTTGCGGAGCTATCATCATCATCAGCAGAAAGTTCATGCGACATTGCGATTACAGAAGTACACAACTCCGCAGTCACTAAACGTAACCATGACACTAGATCAACTCATGTTGTTACACCCGATATGTGCGTTGCAAATACTCCTCCCGATAATCCCGTGTCATCCGCTCCCCGTCACCTTACCCCATCCTTCAAAGCTATGTCAAAATACAAATCTCAGGTGTCATCATTCCACGGGTCTCCAGTGAAATGATCAGGGGCATGAGAAGGCTGGTGACCTCAACTTGAATTACGCCTATGAACGTACCTCTGAATTTACTCTCACCGCGAACGGTACCAGTCCTGTTGCGTGTCCGAAGGACTCTCCTCCTGTACCGGCGATCGACTTCACCCGACTGCAATTTCCTTCCAGGAACAGTTTGCGCTTTCCTCTTCTACGTTTAGAACCAGTCACTACAGCTGCCAAAGTCGGGAGCAGGGGGGAAGGTGAAAATTCTGCTAGGCCGCCGGCAGCCTCAAATCACACTCCCAACCGGTTTGCGCAGGATGTGCCTTCAGCTACACAGCAACCAGGCAAGTTGGCAGGCACCAGGAGCTTGCAGTAGCAGAAATCATGAAGATACGGAAGCCGCATTGCCCGTCACACGCCAAGACACGTGAGTGAAATCCTCCAGCTCTCCTAGACGCCTTGGCGAAGCTATTGACTCCAGACACGACACGGTGACATATCACATGGATCAACTTATACGGACTGAGAAAACGTGCTACAGGTTGCGATGACGTTTGATTTGCAGCGCTATGGGAGAGCAATGCGATGTGGAAGGGTATGAGATTTTGGCATGAAGACCTGAAAAAGCCGACGTGGAATGCAGATGCAGATATGCAGTATCATAGGAGATTTTAAATGTGCATCCATGTCGACCTCGACCGAGCTTCGTCGAGCCAGGGAGACTTGTAACTTGTTATTGGCTGTACCACCTATGCCAGAAGCTTTATAAATTCTGGAGATGAAGGACATGTTTGATACTCAAAGTCCAACGCACAGGGTTGAATCTACTGATTTCGGCTTTGAAGGAGCTTAGCACAGTCTTGCTACTCCACCGTCCAGGCGGGTTTGCACCATGCGGTTCGCACATCTAAGCACCGAAAATTAGGTAAGAAGTAACAACATTTGGAACGCCGGTTGGCATGTGGGTCATTCACTCCTATCATATTAATATTGGATCGACTATCAGATCTTCAGACATGACCGGGAATTGTCCGACGCTAAGCATCAGTACAGCATACCGAACAATCAAGATCAATGCCCTGGTTTGTAGTCAGGGCGCAACGAACGGACGACCTTTCCGACTCTCCAGATCTCCTGCTCGTCAATCTCTTTCAACTCCTTGGCTAAGTCTTTGCGATAAGTGGTGCGCCCGTTAAATTCGAGTGCCTTGCGCGTCTCCGTGCCATTCTTTACGCTTTCATAAAGCTTCTTAAACACCGGGCGATTTGTTGCCTCGAAGATCGGCGCCCAGTCAAGGGCCCCTCGTCGAGCGGTGGTGGAACAGGCGTTGAACATGTAATCCATGCTGTGGATAGTTATAAGTCAATGACTTGTGAATTCAGAGTGATAGAGATATTTACCCCTTTTCTCCGATCAAAGGATACAGAGATTGAGTGGCTTCTTCGACGGTTTCATTGAATGCCTCCGAAGGGGAATGGCCAGTTTGCACGAAGTACCTTGTATTGTGCACAGAATAATCCCTCTGTAAACGGCCAACCAGTCAGACTGCAATTAATGGTATGACAGCGATGGACTGATGAATAGCGGCTGCGAGCTGGGAAAGAGACTCGATCTTAGCGTATGCATGCAGATTGATGATGGAGTACTTACCACACCACGTTCACCAGTCAAATCTGAGAACACCTCCTTCTCGAAGGTTGTTTCATACATGTAGCCAGAGCCGATAGCGACCCCAATAGCCACAGCTTTCTCCATTGCTTTGCCGGTTACGTCTTGAAAAATGGTGACACTGGAGTTGATGCCTCTGCCCTCCTTGAACAGGGTTCGGACAGTGCGACCAGATCCTTTCGGTGCTACTAGAATAACGTCGACATCCTTCGGAGAAGCATCTAGAGGACACTTGCTAGACGATGGTGCCGGTATAGGAGCTGGAGTTTGTGCAGGAAGTGGTGGGGGGAAAAGTCTAGTGACTCTGTTGGGTTTGTGCCGGAAGTAAGTAGTTCGGGGTACATGCTTGGGCTTGCCTTTGTTCTTCCGAAGGCAGGCATCACAATTGCATATGTGAGTATCAGTACCGTTTGCGAGTCGATGTATGCCAGCCTCGAGGCTCTCGGAGGTTATAGAACTCATGTAGCTGTGTGATCGCGATCAAGGAAGCGTATATGCGCAATCACAATGTTAATCTAGGTGTAGCTTTGCAATTTGCAAAGTGTCATTTGCAACAACTGCAGCAAATACACTGCAAATTTCAAACCTTTGCTTGCGAGTTTGGACTTTGCATTTAATTTTACAATTTGCATTTTTCCATCTCAAATTATTTAGATTGCTATCTATGTCATTTGGTACTTAGACGTGTATTGCTACCTATCTACCTCCTTCTTGTCGTTTTTCACTGGGCTTGAAGGTCAAAGCTAAAACTATTTTTTTATACATGCTATGCCTCCATCTTGGTTATACGAGCTTTACAGCAGCCTGACTCCAAGATTTTCAGATGGTGACCGCAAGTGTGAGCCTGCTGAATGCGACTCAGGCTGCAAATATCAATATCTAGTATGAGGATGAGGTGCCGATTGTCTGTAGCAGTGATGTCAGCACATAACTAACAACAAAACTGAATATGAGTACTCACTGTCGCACTCTCTGCATCACTCCGAGCCATGGACATTGAAACACCAAATTTCTTCCATTCCGTATGTAGGTGTCCGACATTGAGCTCCACTACCAACAAACGAGAATTTGCGGCCTGGGCACATTGACACCAGATGTCGAGAAGCACCAATTGGTGTGCCAAAATGCAGTCAGCCAGGTACTTCTCGGCCTCGCATACTTTTCATTTGGCTTGGGTGGCCGCAAGCATGAGATCAGAATGCTCATCATCACATTCTCTTTCTCCGTCCAGTGTGGAGTAGTCGCCCTGCTGCAGAATATAACTAATGATGAGGAAAAACAAGCATAAGTACTCACAAGGTGTCTGAGTGTTGTGGGTGGTTTTTTATCCTCGAATGATGGCACTTCACTAAGGCCAGACCAATATGATAGCGATTGACAAGATCCTTGGAGGCGTGGTACACGTGAGGCTGAGTTGCGATGGTGTTGGGGATTAGAGCTTGCAGTAGGAGTCTGATAAGACATCATAACAGTTGGGGGTGATATCAACAAAGATCGTGTGAATCTTTCCTTACTTACTACTATCTTCAATGTCAGCACCAATATGCCCAAAGTGCGGGAAAACATTTACAAAGGAGAGCAGCATCACTCGACACCTGAGCCAGCCTCAATCCTTGTGTCACAGTCATATGCGTGACATTGTTGATATTTTGCAGTTCATGGAAGTGGTTCCTCCCTGGCGTTACGCAGGAGCTGACACAGAGTCACTTCAATGAGCATCCACCGAGGAACTAATGGATCATACTGACAGCATTCCGGAAGTTCATGGTGGGGATCATTCACATGCTAACATTGATGATGGCTTCGGGATGTTTGGAGAGTCACTGGATGAAGAGTATGATGGTGCGGGGACCTGTTACTCTCAAGACGGCAAGACCTTCTTGGATCTATTCGATGCTGACGAATACGCAGAATGCAGGGTAGACAATCTCTACTATCCTTTCACATCCAAGGAAGAGTGGGAAGTTGCCGATTATCTCCTGCGCTCGTCCCTCAGCATGGCAGCAATAGATGAATTTCTGAAGCTTTCAATGGTGTGTATTTTTTGTGCTTGATTCATCAGCCATAACACTTCTTGTTTTCAGGTTCAAACACACATATTGCAGTAACATATCTCCGTATTATACGAGTGGACGGACGTGCATAATATCCCGTATGATACGGGCCAGCGGACCATGGGCCGAGGGTAGATATATCCTCGACTGTGATGGATGGGCCGGGAGTGTTATTATTCCCGATGGAGACGGGTGGGCCCAGGTGGGGAATATGTAAAGTAGATGGGTGGGCCGATGGACATGAATTTTCAATAGACGGATCGGCCGAGGTAGTTGGATATTATGTAGATGGGTGTACCAAGGTAGATATGTATCAAATAGCCAGGTATATCAAGGGTGCTTGTTATCACATAGACAGGTGGGCCCAGATATATATCATATTAGACGGGTGGGCCGACGAATTAATATTATTTTGTAGACGGGTGGGCCGAGGGAGTGGTAAAAGATGTATTATATACAGGTGGGCCGACAGGGAGACATATATTGCATAGATGGGTAGGCCGACGTGGGGGTATATAAGATAGACGGGTGGGCCCAGGAGAATGATAATTGTAGACATGATGGAGCTCAGCTAGTTGTATATCATCCAAATCAAAGGAGGTGATTATTCAAAGTCATCTAATGATGTGGTATGGCACGGAGCTTTGCAAAGGGGTGAAGTGGAAACTCGAGCGAAGTGTACCGAGTTCCGAGACCCGGGTCTCGACAACGAATATGTGATGTCCAGCACACTTCCAATCATCTGGTATTTCATTGAGCAATGGATGATAATAGATCTTTGAAAGCCAACATCATCCAAGCCTACCAAATGCCAAATACCAAGTTCCGACCACCGAAAATTGAGTGAAGTGTACCAATATCTGAGCCCCAACTATCAAATCCCGAAAATCGACCATTGAGTCCCGACTATCCGATACCGATGAGGCGAGGAATGATAGCTGCGTGCTAGGGGGAAGAGTGGGAAGTGGGCTCTCAAGTGCTCCTCTGGATATGAGTGGAAAATCGTCCCAAGGGGATTGCGACTGAGAAAGATTCCTCTATAGAAAGGTGAGGGGGATCTTTAACCAGCAGTTCGGTCTCTAAGCCTGGAGGGGACACTAAGGCAAGTAATATACCCAAAAGCGAAGAGCGCTAGCTAAAAGCGCCTAAATGCGCTGATAAGGCGGAAAGTGCGGAAAAGCGCGCTTCAATACCAAGGCGCTCTTCGTGCGATCACAGCGGAGTGCTTCGAGTAGAGGCGACAATCAAAATGGGAGAATCAGGGCTTTGATAGATGTAGAAATAGACACTTAAAGGTGTCAAAGCAGCCAATTAGATGGAAACAAGTGTCTTCTGCTAGAAACTTCAACTATACACTTTCTGATGGTAGTCGAGCAGGAGTGAGTCCCAGAAAAATGAACATGCTGACGTGTAAGTATGCTAAGCGAGTTCCCAGGCCTCGGAACCGAGTAGGGAGCACTAAGGTAGGTGATGAGGTAAGTCAGGGTCCATAATGTAACATAGTGATAAGTACAAGTGCCTGTGTGACGCCATATGAGTTCTAGTGAAAAGAGCACGCACCGATGGACCTTGGAGGACTAGGACAGGACATGCGGAGGACGGGCGACGGATCCTAGGGAAGTGCGATGAAGTCTGATGTAACGCGCTCAAACGCGCTGGTACGCGCCAAGGCGCATATGTGCTGTAACTGGGAAGGTGCGAGCAGGCAGTAGCGAGGGTTCGTCAATGCGAGGATGAGAGAAGGCGAGGCGCAACGCAAAAAGCGCGACAGCGTGAAATGCGACAAAGGCGAAACGCGACAGAGGCGAAACACGACGAAACACGACGAAATGCGAACACGATGAAATGCGAAACGCGACAAAATGAAACGCGACAGAGGCGAAACACGACAAAATGCGAAACACGACAAAACGAGAATAAGACGAAACGCGACACAGCGCGTTATTACGGATGCGCGACTGCAGGAATGTGGATACTCGTATATGCGAAAGTGTGTATGGGTAGAAGCGCGCTAGCGCGAAAGCGCGTTTGTCGCGTTCGGGGCGCGTTTCGGATTTGAAGGCGCGTTGCATGGATATCGAGGGCGTCGTGAAAAAGTGTGAATTTGGCCCATATGAGCCTGGAGAAATGCGAGTCTCTACACCGAGTCATGAAACCCGACGCCTGACCATTGAATCCCGACAATCGAGTATCGAGTCCCGAC